GCTTTTCCACCCTCGCATCCCCACCCTGCCCGGCCTCCATCCGAGCAGCGGGACCAGGGAGCTGCGGTTGTCACCGGGAAAACGGACCCGCAGCCACAACTTGACCAAAGACGGAGATTTGGGCTCGGCCCCAAACTCGCTCCCCGCTGCCCTGGACCCGCTCCCGGTGCCCCGATCCCGCCCCATTCCCACCCCGGCCCCCGGATCCCGCCGCCGCTGAGCGTTACCTGGGAAAGCGGGGTCGCCGCGGGCTGGAAAACGATCCTCGGGGCTCGGAGGAGAGCGGGGACCGGGACCGGGACCCCCCCAGCAGCTCCAGCATCCGCGGCCGAGGCACCGGGCCGGGTCCCGGCTCCTGGGGGGGGGTGTGGGGTGTGTGTCCGCGGCTCCTGCACCCGGAGCCCCCCCGCTCCGCTGGGGCCGGGTTGCGATGCGATAGGATGGGACGCGACGGGCGATGCGGGATGCGCTGGGGTGCGCTGGGATGCGCTGGGGTGCGCTGGGATGCGCTGGGATGCGCTGGGGTGCGCTGGGATGCGCTGGGGTGCGCTGGGGTGCGCTGGGATGCGCTGGGGTGCGCTGGGGTGCGCTGGGATGCGCTGGGATGCGCTGGGATGCCCGGCTCGGCTCTGCCCCCCCCCCGCGCCGGGGGCGGGGCGCAGCTCCCGCTCACCACTGTAATGAGCAGGGCGGTCTCAGCGTCATCCCCCCCCCCCCCCCCCCGGGACCGGCTTTGGGGGGGCTGCAGGGGGGTTCAGGGGGCACCACGGTGCCGCATCCCCCGGGGCTGGCCCCAGCCACCCGCGGCCCCGCTCATCGCTCCTCTGGGGGGAAAAGGGGGCATTTTTCGGGGGGCGGGTGCTGGGCAGGGCGAAGCCGAGACAGCTTCTGCCCTGACACCCCCCGGCCTTCCCTTGGGTTTGGGGCTCCCCAGGCCCTGCTCTGGCTTCAGCATCCTGCGGCCCCAGACCCGGCTCCTGCTGCACGGGGAGCCCCGGCTCCATCACCACCCGCAGCCCCCCTGCACCTTCAGCTCCTCCTTCACCCCGTGCACCCCAATCACTGCTTCCTTCCACCGGGACCCGTGGCCCTGCCTTTGCCCCCCAGGCGGGGTCGGGATCATTCCCCAGGTCCGAGCCCCGCTCCCTCACCTCTCCCCGCTGTGCTTCCCCGGGAAGGGAAGGGATGGGATGGGAGCTGCAGCCGCCTCCAGGCTCCATCCCCGCTGCGTGCAGGGGCACTCGGGGGGTCCCGGGGCAAGCTCTGGTCGCGATGACAACCCCTGAGCTCCCCCCGGGAGCAGCGGGCACGGAGCCTCCTCCAAGGCACCGGGAGCCGTTGACAGAGGCCTGGGCCTGCGGAGCCCTTTGGCACATGGGGAGCAGGGAGCAGCAGCAGTGGGAGAAGGCCCCGCTCACACAGAAACCAGCCCGGGCTTTGACTGCAGCAGGAAAGGTGCCCGGCTGGGAGAGGAGGCTCCCCCAGGGCCCTGGGCTCCAACCCAGCCCTTTCTGCGGGTGTGCAAAGGGGAAAAGCACAGGCCCTGGCTTCCTGCCCCTTCCCAAGCCCCATCCACAACGGGGATCAGACGCTGTGTCCCTGGGGGGCACCTCCAGCCTCGCTGTGGGGTCACCTCTGGGCTCCCATCGCTTCAGCCTCATGGTCACATCCAAGCGCCTGCCCCCTGCAGGCAGGTACCCCTTAAGGGGGCTCTGGGGCAATTAAAGCTAATTACTAATACACAATTAAGGCTAATTACTAACATACAATTACAGCTAATTACTAACCTCAGACGCTCCAAAGCAGCTGCTTCGCCTTAGCTCTGCATCCGGGAAGACGCATCTGCAGTCACAGAAGCCACGTGCATGGCAAGGGGAGGGGGGCACCACTGCAGCAAGCAGGGACAGGAACAGGGGTGCAGGCAGATGCCCCCCCGCAGTGTGACAACCTTGGGCCAGCACCTAAAATCCCCCCTTACATCCAATGGTCCACACAAGTGGCCTTGAGGGACAGCAAACCCAGGAACCTCGAAGCTTGCTCCAAGCAGAAACCACCTGCAAGAGCTCATTACCTGGAGCATCCATGGGGCCGATGGCAACGGGGCAGCCTTTCCGCTGGAACGCGGAGCCTCAGGCCCAGCTCCAGGCAGGATGAGAGCAGCAGAGCCGTTGTACCAAAGAACACGGCAGCAACCAACCATGGCTTTATTAGAGGGGCCCAGGCACCCACACCAACCACAGAAGCTGTTGAGATGCAAACAAAGGAGCCGGAGGTTCACGGACCAGCTCAAAGCTCCAGAACCATCACCAGGAGCCGCACGCAGCGAGCACCCACGGCACAGCACCCACGGCACAGCACCCACGGCACAGCACCCGTCCCTGAGCACAGGCACACCACAACCACAGGTGCTCCTCACCGTGTGCCTGGGGTGCGGCCCAGGGGGCCGTTGGCAGGAGGAGGAATGGGGATGGATCCTCCCAGCTCTGCCTGTTACCACCACGCAGGGATGGGGACAGGGCACAGCAGGGCAGATGCAGGGACCTGACACTGCTCAGCCGGGGCTGCACAGCAAAACACGGCAGGAGGAGCCACCACAGCCAGCCATGGGCAGGGAGACTGGAACACAGGGATGGAAGCGCATCACATCTCTGCTCAGCGCAGCACTGCCCCGCTCAGCGCAGCACTGCCCCGCTCAGCGCATCCCATCCCCGCTCAGCGCAGCACTGCCCCGCTCAGCACATCCCATCCCTGCTCAGCACATCCCATCCCTGCTCAGCGCAGCACTGCCCCGCTCAGCACATCCCATCCCTGCTCAGCACATCCCATCCCTGCTCAGCGCATCCCATCCCCGCTCAGCACATCCCATCCCTGCTCAGCGCAGCACTGCCCCGCTCAGCACATCCCATCCCTGCTCAGCACATCCCATCCCTGCTCAGCGCAGCACTGCCCCGCTCAGCACATCCCATCCCCGCTCAGCACATCCCATCCCCGCTCAGCGCATCCCATCCCCGCTCAGCGCATCCCATCCCCGCTCAGCGCAGCACTGCCCCACTCAGCGCAGCACTGCCCCGCTCAGCACATCCCATCCCCGCTCAGCGCATCCCATCCCCGCTCAGCGCATCCCATCCCCGCTCAGCGCAGCACTGCCCCGCTCAGCGCATCCCATCCCCGCTCAGCACATCCCATCCCCGCTCAGCGCATCCCATCCCCGCTCAGCGCATCCCATCCCCGCTCAGCGCATCCCATCCCCGCTCAGCGCAGCACTGCCCCGCTCAGCGCAGCACTGCCCCGCTCAGCGCATCCCATCCCCGCTCAGCACATCCCATCCCCGCTCAGCGCATCCCATCCCCGCTCAGCGCATCCCATCCCCGCTCAGCGCAGCACTGCCCCGCTCAGCGCAGCACTGCCCCGCTCAGCGCAGCACTGCCCCGCTCAGCGCAGCACTGCCCCGCTCAGCACATCCCATCCCCGCTCAGCACATCCCATCCCCGCTCAGCGCATCCCATCCCCGCTCAGCGCATCCCATCCCTGCTCAGCGCAGCACTGCCCCGCTCAGCACATCCCATCCCCGCTCAGCACATCCCATCCCCGCTCAGCGCATCCCATCCCCGCTCAGCACATCCCATCCCCGCTCAGCGCAGCACTGCCCCTTTCCAGCCTCGTCAGCACCACCACACGCAGTACATGGTACTCGTCACCACCCCACAGCAGCACCTACGAGCAGCCGTTGCATCACTGTCCACAAACACTGCACGTATCCAGGAAGGAGCCTGCTGCTTCCTCCCGCCTTGGTCACCCTCCTCTGCCTCAGCCCTGCCCCATCAGCTCTGCTTCACCCACGGAGCTCTTCAGCTGCAACCAAACCTCCATCAGCTGAGCCTGCCCCAGTGCCGAGCTGTTCCCTGTGCGTGGGGAGGGTCTGGGTCACGGTAACATGGGAGAAACCTGGATCTTGGTTGTCACTCATGAGCCCAAACCACATGGGAACCGTGGACGCAGCAGCTCTGCAGCTCTCCTGCCTCTTCAAGTGTGGGGCTGCAGTCCCAGCCCTGGTGGTGGTGCTCCTGTCATGTCCTCCTGGATGAACACCCCCTGAAGAACATCCCTTGACAGCCATTAGATCATGGCATTGGTGATGCCGTTACGTCAGTGCCGTGGACACAAGGCAAAGGTGCTGAGCAGAGGTGACAGAATTGATGCTAAGGCAGCACTTCACATCCTGGAAAAGGACCCGAACCCCCAGAAACACAGCCCAGGTTTCCAGGGTCCTCTCCAGGTGCTGAGTCACAGCGGGAATGCTGCCTGCCCTGGCCTGCAGACCTCTGCTGCTGCACGGGGAGGACCATAATGGGCTTGGATGCGTTCCTGGGTGACACCAGGGAGGGCTCACTCAGCCAGACCCAGGGCTGCTCAGTCTGGAGCTGGCTCAGGGGGAAAGGGGCTGCTCTGGAGGGTGCAGAGCCCCAGGTGCCCCGTCCAGCACGGACCAGGCAGGAAACCCTCTTGAGAACAAAGGAAAAGAGCCAAGAATAAGGCAAACAGCTTAAGACTGATGGAGTAACCACTCCCAGGTTCTGCTTGTAATAAGTTACACTCCATGTGCAGGAAAGGCAGGTTGCCCTTTCTTACTTACCCCTCCCTCCCTCCCATTTAAGAGACGACCCAGACTAAAAGATAAATTAAACCAAAAGAACCACGGAGAAGCCGTCTGTCTCCCCAGAGCTGGGATACAACACAAACCTCCTGGAGGCTATTCCAGGATGCTGGAAGTCAGTTCAGAGAAAGGCAATGGCCCCTGTGCTGCAGGGCCTGTAACAGCAGCGGAGCGGGTGACACTGTGCAGGTGCTGCAGCCTGAGCCCATGTCACTGCAGGGAAGGGCTGGCCGGACACCTGACACAACCTCACTGCACGGCTCAGGGTGGTTTCAGCATTAAAACCCAGCTCATTCCCCGTGCCTGGAATCTGCACGCTCCAACCCCAGTGCTCCTAATGCCCATGGAAATCTCACAGTTTAACTGGCTACATCAGCTGCGCTCCCTTCGCACTCCGCTGTCAAACCCCTCGTCTCCAAACCCGGCTGGAAGGAAGACGTAAAACACGCCAGGATGAAGATCCCGTCTCGTCGCAGTGATGCTGGTTCTCACTTTCCTCCACACAGACTTTCCCCCTCTCTGACCAGCTGCACACGAGGAGAAAGGGTGTGTATGTATGCCCAAGTGACATCTTCCCCCAGAGGATCTCACACCTTGGAAAGCTAACAATGACAAGGACAAGTTAGGTAGGATAAGGTTGAAACTGTCCACCAGGCCAGCTTGAGCACTACGGGTTCCTCTCAGCCCTCTGTCCATGGCTCAGAGTTTCCTCTCCCTCAGTTTGCTCCCGTTCTGTTCCTCCAGCATTGCTGAGTGTCCATCACCATTGCTCAAGCATTTGTCCTTTTCATGTTTGTGCTCTTGCTTCTGCCTCCTGATCTCCTTATACCGCAGGGTGATGTCACTGTAAAGGAAACCAAACATGAACCAGGGATGTGAACAAACTATTTCATATACAGCAGACCCAACAGGGCTGCCCTGGGTGCAAGTGCCCTTGGGATAACGTAACCCACTTGAGTCTTTGGCCTGTAGCCTGAAGGACTTGGGCTGTTGGGTGAGGAGCAGCTCCCCATGACCCTGCTTCAGTGAGCGCTTGAGCCCAGACCCCCCCGTGTGCTGGGCTGCACCCCCAGAGTGTGAGCAGCAGCTCAGGGAGGGGATCCTGCCCCTCTGCTGCGTGAAGGGGAGACCTGAGAGCAGCTCCAGTGCCTGAAGGGGCTGCAGGGAACCTGGAGAGGGGCTTGGGACAAGGGATGGAGGGACAGGCCAAGGGGAATGGCTTGAACCTGCCCGAGGGGAGACTGAGATGAGCTCTTAGGCAGAAGCTCTTCCCTGGGAGGGTGCTGAGGCGCTGGCACAGGGTGCCCAGAGAAGCTGTGGCTGCCCCATCCCTGGCAGTGCTCAAGGGCAGGTTGGACACAGGGGCTTGGAGCAAGCTGCTCCAGTGGAAGGGGTCCCTGCCTGTGGCAGGGGTTGGAGCTGGAGGAGCTTTAAGCTCCCTTCAACCCAAAGCACTCTGGGATTCTATGATTCATTCAGCCTCGGGCAGCTGCTTGTCCTTTACTTGCAGAGCAGCATCCAAACCAAACACATTTAACTGGGCTCACTTGTCACCGATGCTGGGGCAGCTCGGTCAATTGGCCACACAGCAAACTGCTCATGCAATGAAGCTGCAGAACCTCTTAGTCTGCTCTAAGCACAGGCAAACCAACCCAATTTTCCCCCTGAGACCCAGGTTAGGGCTGATCGTGGCACCTCAAACTCCACTCACCGAATGAAGAACCTCCAGGCTGTCCAGGTGAGCACCAGGATAATCCCCAGGATCCAGCACTGGGTAATGTAGAAGGGAAGAGAGAGGGTGAGCGTGTAGGGATCGTACTTGACGACGATGAGGAACTCCGTGGCAGTGATGGCAGCCACCAGCCATGCCTGCTGGCCCAGCTTCTTGTGGAACTTCCTGCACGAGGAGCACACACACACACACCAGCCAGGGCTGTGAAAGTGAGGACTCAGAGAAACAGATACAAACCAGCTGGGTAATAAAGGCATTCAGCTTTGCCCAGCTCTGAAGGCCCAGCCTGGCTTACACAGGCACTGAGGCTCTCCAGGCTCATGACTTTGATGAAGTTTCCTCTCAGAGGCTCTGAACAGTTAAAACTCATCACCAGATGATGCAGGGAACTATCCCCATTTTGAGGGTACTGGGAAAACATCCGTATCTGCCCAGCTTGCAATGAGCTGAGCTTCAGAGAACGGTGTGAAATAGGAGCTCTGCTCCTGGATTCCCTCTGCCAACATCAACCCACATCGACATAACCACACCTAACCCCTGTGTAATTGCACTCTGCCACTTGCTCTCCTCCCAAGCAGGCCCCCAGTGAGCTGTCTCTGATCAGCTCCGAAGGGGTGTTAAAGGAGGAGAGCTCAGTAACAAGCAGGCAAGATCCTGAAGACACCAGGACTGCATTTCAGTTCTAGGACAACACAACCTTGGGGCAAAACCGTGATTAATGTTTAATCCCCAGGGCTGGTTTCTAAGCCAAAGCAGACACTGATGAGAAGCTGCAGGGCCATGGACCAGCCCAGTGAAGGGCCCAGCAATCAGCAAAGCCAGAAATTCAAAAGCACTAGAACCCAGCCATCTACCCAGAGGCAGGGATGGGCAAGGAACCATCTTTTGGGCCCCCTCCTGCTGCATGGGAAGTACCCGAACCCAAAATACCCATCACCTGCCTCCAGGAGACCCCATTACCCTCAAAGCCTTTTGCTGGAAACCTGGGTAAGTGGCTGGATCTCCACCAGCTGGACCCCCCCTGCCTGGCCTTGGCTGTCCACGTCCTCTCTGGAGCTGACATTCTTACAGCTGACTGCCCAGGTGATTCCCATGTGAACAATCCAACAGGGTGCTGTGTGGGCAACACAACAAGCCCTGCCTTATGCAATGGGCTGCAGTGAAACCCTGCCCACAGCAGCACCATGGGTGCATGCAGATGTGCATCCAACAGACCAAATCATTGCTGTTCTATCACCCATCTTCTGAGTCTAAACTGGGACTTTATTCCCCCTGCAGTAACGAGGCAAGGGAGAGCTGCTAGCAGTTGCATGTGTTGTTCTCCTCTTTCCTTCAAAGGCATGATTTAATTGTTCCCTGAAATCCAACAGATTCGGATCAAGGAACACGGAACGTGAGGAAAGCAACACCCTCACCCACCACCACCAGCAAGCACACACACAAGTGGCTGCTTTCAACAGCCTTTGGACTGAATCTTCTACTTAAAATCCACACAAAGCACCACTGGGTTGCACCCTCCTGGTAGCCTTAAACCTGCCACCTCAACTGCACATTGTGCCTCTGAAGATGCACAGATAAATCATGCAAAGGAGCCACCAACTCAGCTTAAAGGGGGCTGTTCTTTTACCTTCTGTTATTCCTTAGCCTGCCTTTGCTGTACCTGTCCCTGCTTTAATCACAGGGACATCTACCCCACAGAGGGCATTGCCCTCACTTAACCACAGCACATTCGGAAGCACATCTGCCTACCAGGCCCTGTCTCTTGCCCATCTGACCGTGTTATCCCACTCCTACCACAGCACAAGATGTGAAGTGAAATGCACCCAGGAAGAACTCAGTGTGAAGTGGCAGAACCACTGGGGCAGGATAGAGGAGATGGGAGCAAAGCGATGCAAGCTCCCTCTGTTGGGCTGGGGAGAGGCAAGGACAAGCTGACCTCTGCAGTACTTGCAGGGCATTGCAGCAGTGGGACACCCCAGCCTGGGCCTGCTGTGATGTGCAGCCTCCCGCCTGGCTGAGGAAACACCGATGTTCAGCAGCCACAAAAGCTCTTTGGGCCAGGTTTTCTTGCTGGTCTCACCGTGCAGTGGATGGAAGAGAAGCCCCCTTACAAATCCCTGCCTACACTGGGAGAGCATCCTTCCTTTAGCAGGCATCTTCCTGTTGCTCAGACACATCTGCCCCACTGCATCCCCCTGGACTGCAGTATGTGGGAAGGGATCTAAGCATGGAGAACAAAGAGAGCTTCTCTCCCCTCCCCTGAATGCAGGGGGGTCATTGCAAGCCAAGCACACAAAACACACAGTGCCTTCAGCATGAGGCCCGAGTTGTGTTTGACACCAATGTGTAAGTTCAAATCCACGATGCAGCAAATCAAGTGCAGGTGGGATGATTCCTTTTTAAAGCATAGCCTGGATGAAAGGACTTCAGAAACTGCTCCAGGTGGTTCCTCTGCTGTGACAGATTAAATGGGCAGAAAGCAGCTCTAGTAGAGAGACAGAAACAGCCCATCTCTGCTGTGAGCTCAAGCTGTTCACAGGACCAGGCCAGCTTCTGCTTCACTGATCTGCTTCCTCCTCTGCCTTTGCTTTCTTGCACTAGCTCATGGCAGCACACTGCCAGAAGAATGAGAGGTAACCCCAGCAGGAGGGCTGTGCAGACCAGTTGGGTTCCTGCCCTTCTGCTCATGACAGATTTTACAGGAAAGTCCTTTTTTTAGTTGATGAATGAGATTAAAATCCACGGCCTCGATGCAGACTCCTTGCAAGAGACCTGAAGACTGGAAACAGGAATATGTGACAAGTCAAATGCTACAGACTCCTCTGCCATCAAGATGCTTCTGGTCAGGAACACTTCACACACTCAAGGACCTGAAGGCAGCATGTCCATCACAACAGCAGTGTGCTACGTAAGGCCTGGAGAACAGCTTCAAGGACCACCCCTCTTCTTGGGCTATGTCAGTGCTGGGTACTTTACTGTCACCATGCTCAGAGCAAAGCCCCAGAGCTGCCTGCAGATACAAAGAACCCTCAGTAAGAAAAATGAGAATCTTCCTACTTGAACTGCACCACTGTCTAGACTAAACACTGCAAGGTTGGCTGAAGAGAGCTAATATGGGTTCATCTCAGACAATCTCATCACTGCCAGACCAGGCAATGAGCCATGTTTCTGACAAGGAACATCAGTGGAATATTCCAACCTTCATCTGTTAAGAAGTTGAGCAAGTTTCTGGAAGGAAAAGGTTGGGAAGGTTTCTGATGTGCTGTTAGCTGGGAGCCCCCGGTGCAGCCTGTTCTCCCCTGCAGCTTCTCCCTACAACACCACAGGGGGAATCCAGAACAGTTCCTGGGCTCAAAATGATGTGCAAGTGAAAATACCCCCTGTGAAGCTGGTAAAACAGGGCCTGATTGTTTTGGATGACCTGAAATGCATGCAGGGATCCAAGTCCAGTTGCAAAAGCCTTCACAGAGATGATGTGAGAAGAGACCAGATGCTGGGTTCTGCCATCAGCAGGAACAGGCCGATGAGGTCAGCTCTGACGTGCATCAAGCAGAGCCATGACCCTCAGCAGTGAGGGGGGAAGTCACCTTTCCACCAAGAAACACAGCAGTGGTGGTGGGGGTGGTGGCAAGGATGAAGACGTGGAGCTCAGGATGAGTCTCTGCTGGGTGAGCTTCTCCAGCTCACTGAAGGAATGGCACAGACTGAACCAGCAGTGACACTCTGGTGACTGATGCTTCTCCTACATTTCAATCTTTAACAGAAGTAAAGGAGTTTTTCCGACCCCAGCACAAGGACCAGAAGATTGTGAACGGTGCTAAGGAGAGGAGCTCAGCGGTGAGAGGCAGAGACCTCTTCTTACCTTTGAGTTGGAGGCACGTCCCACACCAGTAGGTCCAACACCAAGCAGCAGCCTGCCACTGCTGAATGTCCTGAATCCGACTAAGCAATGTGGCTTGACCCTTCTTCCCCGCTCTAGGAGTCAAAGCCTTGCAAGGGAAACTGATCTTCCGAGAGTGTTGGAACCCTAAATTCTGAACACAGACACTTTTGCGTTGGTCAGTGACAGACAATGAACATCCCTGGAAGCCAGATGTTGCCTTAGACTTAAGATGTGGGCTCAGGCAGCTTGAGACATCACCACTAAAACTTAAAAGAACAAAGCTTTCTCAGGCCTTACATGGTCTGCAGAAACAAAAGCAGCAAGGACAAATACGATGCTGAAGTAGGAACAGCCTGAAAGTACATGCACTGCTCCCTGTGGGTGCACTTCACCTCCAATCCACTTTGCTACAGGGGGTCCTCTGCAGCAAGAGGAGCCTCGAGAGCTCCAGAGGAGCAGGGGCCATCTGGAAGACAGCTCAAGAAAAGAAGCACCTTTAAGAAGCACGTCTGGGTTTTAGTTTGGGCCCTGTTGCCCTTAGAAGGTACATCCAAGGACTGCACCTCCTGGCTCTCAGCCTGACAGTGGAGCTCAGGACCCCTCTGCCCATAAGCCAGTGGCACTCCAGCTAATTCACACATTACATTGTCTAAAGAGCTAATAAAAACTGTGGTTAAAACCAGTGCCCACAGAATGCCCCTCACAACAGCTGCTCTCTAACCAGGTGTAGTGAGAATGCCACCTCCAACCCGAAAGAACATAAGGCAGATGCTTTGGGATTAGGTCTCTTTGTCCCTGCCAAGCTGAACTACTGCCCTGAGATGGAAGCCAAGAAGCTGGAGCAAATCCAACAAAGCAGTGAAGCTGCACACGGTATATACAAGAGGACTGGCTTACGGGTCATCCATGAAGTCGTAGATCTCCCTCATGGCCACACCTCCCACATTGACAAAAAAGACAAGTCGCAACAGGACCAAGTAGTGCTCTGGTGGCATCCAAAGGACAAACTTCAAGTAAAAGGTGTTGAGCTCTGCCAATAAAAACTGAGAAAAGGACATTTTAGTTACATTGAGGAGACTTCACTGAATAAAGGCCGGAATCTCCTCTCTCCCTGCAGGAGCCCCCCCCCATTCCTCTGTCACACAAAGTCCACTCAGTGTTGCTGAGGGCACCATCAGCAGCTGCAGCAGTGACCACCAGCTGGGTTCAAGTATTTTCTGTGTGTTGGAAGAGGTGTCACAACCACACAGCAGAAACCACGGCAAGCACTGCCCTAATGCTGAACAGGTTAACTGGAGCCGGAATGCCGGCAGAACCACTGATAACAAACCCCAAAAGCAACAGCTTCTCCTTTCACTATCATACAGAATCTAGCTGGGGAGCCCCACAGCAACAAGAGGTGGAAGCTGCACACCTTGGGGTGCTTGGTTTCTTACATGTCACTGCCAAAGTCAACTTAGGAGAATGGCTTATACCTCTACAGCAAAATGTTCTGGAGTGATCCGCCTGGCAGTGTGGTTATGAGCAAGCAGACACACGTCTCTCGCTTCCAAAGAAAGGGTAACAAATGGCATTGAGCGTTGGATCAGCCAAAGGAGTGAGCCAATACCTGAAGCTGCTTCTGAACTGTCGGCTCGAGCAGGCTTTGCTAAAGAAAACATTATCCCAAAGACTGGTACAAATGCAATGGAATCCCTCGGTTGCAAAAGCTGCTCCAGCACCTAATCCCCAGTTTCATCAGGTGCAAAGTAAGTTTCCAGGGGAACATCTACTTTATTTACACAGGCACCTTTACTGCACTTCTCCCATGAGCTGTGGGACCCTCAGCAAGGCTGCTGGGCCACGTCAACCTGGCAATGTTTGGCTGGTGGAACTCAGGTGATGCGAAGGTGTGCTCAGTGATGCGAGCTTGCATTCACTGACGGGGCTCACAGCCTGCCTACAGACCTCCTGAAGCAAGCCAGCTCTGAGAACAGCACCACTGTAACAGGCAGTGCTGTTGTAAGCCGGGTGGTGGTTGCCAAGCTGGCTGATGTGTCCCACTCAGCAAACAGGAACTGGGAACTTCACCCCAGACTGAGCCACTGCCGGATTTCATATGCCACAGATTTCAAGATGCTTAAAGGCCTGGTGTTCTAGCAACTGTTACCCTGTATCACAGCACTAATACAGAACCTGGTTAATGCCCACTGTCACTGGAATCACTGGAAGTGTCACAAGGTTGGTTAAACTTACAGGTGCTGAACTAAGTTTGAGTGGCTCAGAGCAGAGCCAAGTGACATCCCATGGACAGCACTAAAGCCGAAGTCCCCCAGCTGACAAGAGACAGGAGTGGGGAAAAGCACTTAAATGGCCGAGTTTATCCTCCCTGTCAGTGTCACGTGGCTGCAAAAGGGGAGTTAGGAATTCCATGGTGCATTCCCTAACACCAGTTCAGAAGAAGGAGGCAGAGTGTCAGTTTGCAGGGACTGCTGGAGAGCCCAGCTTCCCCTGTTGTCTAAATGAGGAGCTGGTTCACTTGAAGTGGTCAAGCTGGATCCTGTGAACACCATCACATGCGACATGTTCAGTGACACATGAAGAAAGGAAAACCTGGGATAACTGGATTATTTAAGTCTGTGTAACAATATTATCCAAACCTGTGTGCTCCAGGAGCTGCTCAGAGCTAAGAGAGAGAAGTCCAAGGCTCCGGGGACAGCCCTCTCCAGCTGTAAGAGCAAATGTACCTGCTTCAGACCCAGAGAAACCAGCCCCTTCTACCCAAAGCCAATGTTTCCGGTGCAGCAGTTACTTGTGAACGATATGTAGATCAGTTTATATTGCTCACTCTGCAGATCAACACTGTTCAGCAAGTAAGGACAGGTATTTGTGCAACGAATCCATCAACCGCACCAGAGCCATGGAAAAAGGAGCCTCTTCTGCAGGGGCTGGAAGTGGTCCTTCCTAGCCTCAGCTGAAGGAACATCATCAGGCTGAGCCTCACCTGAGTCACCTTTGTACAGTGCCTCGAGGGCTAAAGAACACGGAGTCAAATGATAGAGAAAAGACAAAGAAGTTTCCTTACTACAAAGATGATGCCGCAAACGGCCAGCCAGCGGCGCAGGCTGGACGCCGGCTTCCACTCAAACTTCACCCAGCTGTAGGGGGTGAACTGGAAGACAATTCTCTTCATTTTACCCCTGAAAAAGAGCAGAGCACATTGAAGAAACAGCCCACAAGCCCTCCCCTCACACTTCCCTTTGAGACACCAGCTCAAGCGTACAGACCGCCTCCATTTCCTCCATCAAAACCACCCCTTAGTGAGATGAACTTCCTGAGTCAGAAGCCTGGTTTTGGACTATCAGCCTTAATATACCTCACTCACTGCAGTAAGCAGTTCCTCAGTCCTGCTTTGCTCAGCAAAGACACTACAGAAAAGCTGTACTGGTCATACTGGTACAGGACTGGTACATCATTACTGGTACGGGACTACAAGGCATCTATTAAATGTGAAGTTTTAGTGTCCCAGTTACTCCAAAGTTCTGATTACTCAGGAATGCACTGTTTGCACAAGAAGAGACCCGAGCTGTGAATGAAAGGGTATGATCCTGACTTGGACTCCTGCATCTCCTTCAACTCTTGTATGAAATCAGCTCATTTCTACCAGATGCCTTCATTCCTACACATCAGACAATGGTCATGACAGCTCTATTGCCAACAACTTCACATGCCAATTCAATAACACACAACCAAGCTTCCAACAGTAACAAGATACTGGAGTCACCCCAACACACCCCGATTCTTTCATCCACATCAGCCTAACAGAAGAACCCCTCAGTGACCACAGTCTTTAGCATGGGCCCAAACTTTGTGCTGTGCTACTGCTTGTGCATTTACCTTCAACACCAACTTACTTGTATGTAGGAATGTTCCAAAGTCCTTGCCATTTGTAGGTTTTCAACGAAAGCCAAGACAGAGTCTTCATCCCACAGTAAATTCCTAATCCATTACACAGGATCACATCCATTATCCACTGAAAGGAGAGAAAACCCACAGTAAATTCCTAATCCATTACGCAGCACCACATCCATTATCCACTGAAAGCAGAAGGACAGGGGTGCTGGAGAAGAAACCCTAAAGCTTGGAGAAGGGAAGGCACTAGAGGTACCCATCCATGCAGATACACTCTCAGTCTTGAGGACTGAACATCACAGAGAAGGGATCTCAAACCAAGCACAAGTGTTGTGCAGGTGATGGCTGCAGGTTCTCTTTTGCTGTATTTGTTCTGCTACAGAACAGACCTCATCCTCCTTACTATGAGCTCAACTCCACTCTTAGGTGCAAGCTTCAGAAACACAGCAAGAAATGTATCTGAACATCTTCTTACAGAATGGATTTTACTGTGCCCAACAGCTTTACACAGTCTTTATGCTCCAGGCTGCCTCCAGGCTCAAGATGTGAAACTAAACAAGGGATTTCTCTCCATGCCAAGCATTAATTCTGGAGATGGAGCTCTTGAGCCGAAATAAACTGGCTGCTCTCTGCATTCAAGGAGAAGGAGTGCAGAGCCTTCATTCCGTAAGCGGTTTTGATGGCAAAAGAGCTTTACCTGGTGTCTTTATACATAATGCTTTTATCCTTATTAACATAATCATGTAGCAAATAACCATTCCAGGGCTGGGAGAGAGCTTGCACTGCGAGGGTAAACCCAGGCTGAGATAACACGAGAGCCATCGCTCTGTGCTCGCACTGGGTCATTTCCTTCCCTCTGGTAACCGATTTCTGTCTCAGAGGAACACAGAAAATCCACGTGCACCACTTCAGGCTGCAGAGCTCGGCTTTGCCACAGAGAAACTGGAGCACAGCAGCCCCTCTGGCCTGAAAACTACCCACAGACAGCAGCAGCAGCAGCAGCAGCATCTGAGGAGAACGCTCAGACCATCCCTGCAGAGAGCGGGCAGCTCCTCAGAGAGGCCAAACGTTTGTCTTTTAGGACCTTTTCGTAACCCACACCAGACATCCCCCCCAGCAATATTTACTGTTACACTGGTCTAATTGCACAGTGACAGTAATATTTACTGTTACAATGACACAGCGTCAGCCACAGCAGTATTTACTGGTGTCAGAGAACAGCACAGGTGGCTTTGCACACAAGCACGAGCTGGACACAAGCTGCACTGAGTGTGGTTTGGGGCTTTTCAAGAGGCAAGAAACATCACTATCAGGAAAAGCCTCACGCTCGCAGGCCCCTGTTCTCATGGGTGACTTCAACCCCCTGACATCTGTTGGAAGGACGGTACGGCCCGGCACAAGCAATCCAGGAGGTTCCTCGATTGTGTAGAAGACAACTTCCTTCTGCAAGTAACAGGGGAGCTGACAAGGAGAGGTGCCGTGCTTGACCTCGTGCTCACCAACAGGGAAGGGCTCGTTGGAAATGTGATGCTCCAGGGCAGCCTTGGATGCAGCGATCACGAGATGCTTGAATTCGAGATCCTCAGGACAGTGGGAAGAGCGTGCAGCAAGCTCACTGCCCTGAACTGCAAGAGAGCAGACTTGGGCCTCTTCAGGAACCTGCTTAGGAAGGTTCCATGGGATACACCCCTAGAGGGCAGAGGGGCCCAAGACCGTTGGTTGATATTCAAGGATCACCTGCTGCAAGCTCAGGAGTGTTGCATCCCAACCAGAAGGAAGTGCAGCAGGAGGGCCAGGAGACCTCCTTGGATGGATAAGGAGCTCCTGAGAAAGATTCAGTTGAAAAAGGAGGCTTATCATAAGTGGAAGCAAGGACAGGTGGCATGGGAAGAGTACAGGGATGTTGTCTGAGAAGCTAGGGACCAGGTTAGGAAAGCTAAGGCCCAGTTAGAATTAAACCTAGCTAGGGGTATTAAAGATAACAGGAAGGGATTCTACAGGGACATAGCAAATAAAAAACAGACTAGGGAGAATGTAGGCCCCCTCAGGAAGCTCTCGGGAGAACTGGCTACACAGGATTTGGAGAAGGCTGAGGTTCTGAATGGCTTCTTTGCCTCAGTCTTCACTGGCAAAGGCTCTGACCAAACCACCCGAGTCTTGGAAGGCAGATGCAGGGACTGTGAGAATGAAGACCCTGTGCCCACTGTAGGAGAGGAACTGGTTTGAGACCATCTTAAACATCTGAACGTGCACAAGTCCATGGGTCCTGATGAGATCCACCCACGGGTCCTGAAGGAGCTGGTGAATGAAGTTGCGAAGCCACTGGCCACCATATTTGAGAAATCCTGGCAGTCAGGTGAAGTTCCTGACAACTGGAAAAAGGGAAATATAACCCCCATTTTCAAGAAGGGGAAAATGGATGACCCGGGGAATTACAGAGCAGTCAGTCTCACCTCTGTGCCTGGCAAAATCTTGGAGCAGATTCTCCTGGAAGGCGTGCTAAGGCACATGAAAATCAACAAGGTGCTTGGTGACATCCAGCAGGGCTTCACTAAGGGGAAATCCTGCCTGACCAATCTGGTGGCCTTCATTGATGGGCTACAGAACTGATGGACAGGGGCAGAGCAGTTGATGGCATCTACCTGGACTTGTGCAAAGCGTTCAACACTGTCCCACACGACATCCTCGTCTCTAAATTGGAGCGACATCAATTTGATGGATGGACCACTCGGTGGATAAAGAACTGGCTGGATGGCTGCACACAAAGAGTTGTGGTCAATGGCTCAATGTCCGGCTGGAGACCAGGAACGAGTGGGGTCCCTCAGGGATCGGTGTTGGGACCGGTCTTGTTCAACATCTTTGTCGCTGCCATGGACAGTGGGATTGAGTGCGCCCTCAGCAAGTTTGCCCATGACACCGAGCTGTGTGGTTCGGTTGATACCCTGGAGGGAAGGAATGGCATCCAGAGGGACCTCGACACGCTTGTGAGCTGGGCTGATGCCAACCTCATGGAGTTTAACCATGCCAAGTGCAAGGTCCTGCACCTGGGTGGGAGCCATCCCAGGCACAGCTACAGGTTGGGCAGAGAAGAGATTCAGAGCAGCCCAAGGAGAAGGACTTGGGGGTGTTGGTTGATGAGAAAGTGAACATGAGCTGGCTTCAGTGTGCGCTCACAGCCCAGAAACCAACCGTGTCCTGGGCTGCATCCAAAGCAGCGTGACCAGCAGGTCCAAGGAGGTGATCCTGCCCCTCTGCTCTGCTCTTGTGAGACCTCACCTGGAGCATTGTGTGCAGTTCTGGGGTCCTCAACATAAAAAGGACATGGAACTGTTGGAACAAGTCCAGAGGAGGCCACGAGGATGCTCAGGGGCTGGAGCAGCTCCTGTATGAAGACAGGCTGAGGAAGTTGGGGCTGTTCAGCCTGGAGAAGAGAAGCTGCGTGGAGACCTCAGAGCAGCTTCCAGTGTCTGAAGGGGGCCTATAGGGATGCTGGGGAGGGACTCTTCATTAGGGACTGCAGTGACAGGACAAGGGGTAACGGGTTCAAACTGAAACAGGGGAAGTTTAGGTTGGATATAAGAAGGGAATTCTTTCCTGTGAGGGTGGTGAGGCACTGGAATGGGTTGCCCAGGGAGGTTGTGAATGCTCCATCCCTGGCAGTGTTCAAGGCCAGGTTGGACGAGGCCTTGGGTGATATGATTTAGCGTAAGGTGTCCCTGCCCACGGCAGGGGGTTGGAACTGGATGATCTTAAGGTCCTTTCCAACCCTAACTGTTCTATGATTCTGTGTTACACACAGAGTTTGACCTTCCTCTTAATCTCAGATTTTATGGCTTTACCATCACCAAAAGGTTGAAAAAGCTTTAGAATCTTTCCCTGGTGTGAAATGAACCAAATCAAGTATTTAACCATGTGCAAGGGGTTGAAACCCCACAAAATACAGTGACAAGCATATTACACATTCAGCAGGGAGAAGCACCAATGCCCCTGAGCTGCAGCAGCCACATGCACATGAGAGGATTTAGTGCTCCTCACTTCCTGCCCCGTCCCTTGAAAAGGCAACTTCCATGTAGGCAAATGCACCGTGATCTGTGCAGTACGTACGTGATCCCACCAACATTCACTGAAGTTTGGAAGCTGGTGTTCCAGGCTGTACTCCAGGAACTCGAACATCACACTGATGATCATACACATCCACCAGTCCCGAATCATCAGCGTCTGTGCAGAGGCAGAAAAGTGGCTTTCAAACATCCACAGCAGTTACACAACAGTAAAATCCATGACAGAAGTGAGTCCTTGCACATGAGCCTGAGCAGAACCAGACACCACTTATAGTAACACCCTCTGGAAACCTAAATACAGGAGAACTCCATTAATCCTGCAAGGACACTGCTCAGATTTAGGTTTACAACAGTGCATTACTATGTTTTTCCCCAGTTTCAAAACCTCTGGACTCAGAACACAGGACACAGTGTGCTTTGCTTAGCAGTTATTTCTATGACTGAGCATCCTGTCTCCAGCATCCAGAAAAGGATCAGGAAACTCCTGGCAACCTTGTTTTTATGATGTGATAGGCCACTAAAGCCAAATGCTCACAGGCCTCCACGCTTGTCAAGTATGGCTAATGGACAAGGCAGGCACTGAGGAGTGTAGATGATGGCATCAACACCCTTACATGGAAGAACAAAGGCAGGTAAGATAGGAGCAGCTGTACAGGGTGCAGGGACATCTAGTCCAGGTCACGCTTTGCTAGAATGTTGGACCAGATGATGCTTGAGGTCCCCCCAAGCTGGGATTGTGTTATTCAGTAGGAAGGAAATCAGTTAAACAAATGCAATCACTGGATATGATCACCACTGGTAGCATCATCCTAATGCTGCTCAAAACAGGCTTTTCAGAGCCTACTTAACACAGACCAAAGAAGTCACCTGCACTGAATCTCAGCCCTGGGCTGGGACACCGCGTCTGTGTTACACCAGCTCCCAGCTTGTGAGGGTGAGCGATGAAGAACAGCATCTTCACCCACATCCAGCATAAGGGTTCAGCTGTGCTGCAGTCCTAGGACATCCCCATCACCTCAGCCCGTTGTAAAGCAACGTAATGCTGCTTGGAAAGAAATGAGGTGACCCAGCATGGGCAGGAGGGGAAGGAAATGAAACAGCTTTTCATGTGGTACACACACACTTTAGTTCACAGATGACTGCCTGGTATAATTGCTCACAAAGGCTGGATCACCCAAACACAAGCAGTCAAGCTTCAAAAGCAGAACAGCACCACAACATAAATGGAACAGAAAGCCCATTCTTACCTTCAGGTACCAGCCAAAAAAGTGAGCAGGGACAAATCCATCCAGTTTGTCCTATAAACCAAGAGGAGAGCGTGGGTCACTCTGCACTACAACAATCACACCTTCTTAAGGCTTTAAGCAGCAATAAACTTCAGTTGTTTCATATCTAAATATAGATGTATGTCATGAGTTTCTTGCTCTCAAGCACAGTGAACAAAGAAGCCATTTCCAATGCAAAGTCAACAATTTTAAGGGGCAGAAACTAGAATTAGGACTGTATTGATAAAGCAGAGGTTACCTTTTTAATGCTAAATGTCAAGCTCATTGCCTTCCAAGGGGACCACATTCCAGACAGAACAAGAACATGCATTTCTTCCTCATACACATCCTGTACCTAGTAAAGCTTCTTCAGTCTTATCAGTCCTGCCCCATAAGCCCCTGGGCAAAGAGTGCCCTTCTCCCTCCTCGCTTTGGTGCGGGACTGGAAAAGGGCAGCTGTAACTCTCAGTTATTCCTGTTCCGGATGCACTGCAGACTTGCAGAGCAGACCCAAAGGACTCCGTGCTCCTCACTACACAAGCACCAACAGCTCCATGTCACCAGGGAGCTGTAAATAACCCTTACTCCTTTGCCCTTGCATTTCAAGTCTTCTGTTTGCCAGCAACACACAACAACCTGGTGGCTTCTGGTACTCAGAAAAGGGCAACTTCAGTTGCTTGAGCAACCTGCTCTAGGGGAAGGTGGCCCTGCCCACGGCAGAGGGGTGGAACAAGATGATCTTTAAGGTCCCTTCCAACACAAACCACTATGATGCAACTTTTGGACCTTGTGGCTCAAGGTGACTGAGCAGAAGGCTCCTGAAGCACTCAAACACACCCAAACTCCTGGGGAAAGGGTTGGCATCAGTAACCTGAGAAAGAAGGGCTGTTAAACAGTTCAAGCTCTCTCCTGGGCAACGCAGTGAGGATACAAAGAGACACATCCCCATCTGGTTGACAGGAAAGGTCAAACGAAAAGAACCAAAGCAGCTACAGGATCAGTTATGACTTGCTGTATGATTCAGCACTCACAGAGACTCACAACTGCACTCTGCAGACTTCACTTAAGCAATCTTTACCTAAAAAGTCAGACTCAGCAGCAGCTTTCTCTGCCTCTTACCCAGATGTTGTGAAATGGATCCGTTTCATTGCCAGGATCATAGACGAGGCAGTTGCCACCATAGTCCCTTTCTGGCAAAGGAACACCCAAATGTGGGTCAATGTACTTCATGAACTGCCGCCCGTCCTGGACTGTCTGCAAGAGGAACATAAGGACCGTGTTTCCCCCTTAGTGAGCATCCATGCACAGGAAAGGATAAAGTTCACTCAGGTCAGTGCTGCATCTTCAAATGGGTGCTGGGTTTCTTCAGTCATTTGTTTCAGAACAATTACTGAGCTACCCCCGGCCCTCAGAGCATCACACAGCAAACACCCGGCTCCAGGGCCTCCAATGCTAAACATGGAGTTAAAAATGACCAGGGAATGGACTTCAGGTTTCCCAAAGATGAAAACTCAGAGACCCATAACCCTGTTTGCTGAGCCCCTCCCCTGCTCCTCCTTCCTCCCAAAGGCTTCACTCCTGAGCTGGCACACAGCTCATCCTCCCCACTGCCCCTCTGCCCTTCCTCTCCCCTGCTCCAGCTTGGAAAGGGTGAGGAAGCAACAGCCAGGGCTGTGCTGCAATGCATGGCAGAGAAACCACAGCACAGCCCACTGAATAGAGCCATTTCAAACAAGGCCCCACTGCAGCACAGGGAATGAACTGGAAGCAAACAGGGAGCAAGAAGTTACCAAAACAACAGTTCTAAGCAGTGACCAGAACCTGAACTCATTCTTTAGGCACTCAGGCAGACATTTGCTGAGTCAGCGAGTCCCAGCTGCTGGGTCAGTGTTCCACAGCAGGAGCAATGGGATGCCTGTGAGTGACCAGCTACAGTAAAGGCAGGGCAAGGCAAAAGGAGTTAATGGCAGTAATAGTGAAATTACAGACTAAAACCACTAAGGTCACATTGAGACAAGTCTCAGCTCCAAGCGAGCCTGTATTTGCTCTTAAGGAAGTTTAGTCACAGGCTCAGCATCCTTTTAACCTTATTTAAACCTGTGCAAAGTAGTGATGTATTTTTAGTAGAGCTGAGCCACAGTCAGTGTGTCCTGAACCACTGTAGGGCTGGAGACACAACACACTGCCCAGGGAAGCAAAGCAGCCCCCAGCTCTGCCACCACAACTCACAGCTACACAGGGACTCCCCATAATAATGGGTGTAAGGATGTACCCAGTGTGGCTGCAGCTCGGCCAGAGCATCATTTATAAGGAGCCTGGAAAAAACAGCATGCCATGAAGCAGGAACAACTTAAGGGCTCCAGGAAACCTGGAGAGGGGCTTAGGACAAGGGCCTGTAGGGACAGGCCAAGGGGAATGGCTTGAACCTGCCCGAGGGGAGACTGAGCTGAGCTCTTAGGCAGAAGCTCTTCCCTGGGAGGGTGCTGAGGCGCTGGCACAGGGTGCCCAGAGAAGCTGTGGCTGCCCCATCCCTGGCAGTGTTCAAGGCCAGGTTGGACACAGGGGCTTGGAGCAAGCTGCTCCAGTGGAAGGGGTCCCTGCCCGTGGCAGGGGGTGGAGCTGGGGGAGCTTTAGGGTCCCTTCCAACCCAAACAGGCTGGAATTCAATAAATCTCCTAAATCTGAAGCTCTTGGCACTCAGACTCGGTTTGCAGTGGGGTGCACACACACAAGAACACAACAGATGTGTTACCAGTGCCTGGTTCACTGCTATTGCTTATCTCAAAACACTCCCACTGCTGCATTTCTGAGAGGCCACAGAAGTGGAAAAGCCTGGAGAAGATTCTCGTTTACCAAAGGATGAGAATATGGTTAAAAATACCTTGGAAGTGCCAGGAGCACGTCTGGCTGGGCAAAACATCACCCTCAGCTCGCTGCCACTACACAAATGGTGCACGAAGTCTGGTTCCTTGCAAAAAGCCCCAACCATTCAAAGCACCCAGCGCAGGCTGAGCCTAACTGGGGGTTAGACAAGGTGAAACATGCCTGGATCATCATTTTCCCTCAGTCTGGAAGTGTCTTTCAGCAGCACCATGATTTGGTTTCACAGAAGTGAAGAACATCTGCTGCAGTCAGCGAGAATCCTGAAGGATTTTATATCCACATTACAGTGGTTCACAATAGAGGTCTGGGTCACTTACCTGGAAGAGGATAAAGATGAGGAAGAGCTCATAGACAACGCTGACACACAGCCAAAACCTCCAGTAAGCTACAGAGAGACACAAAGGGGATGTCAGCAAACAGCAGCTACTCAGTTACCGCAGCACAACTCCACACAAAGAGGGATGCTCCCAGCAAGCAACTAGAGCCCAGCACTGCAGTGATGTGCTCACCACCCTTCCTGAAGGGTGCAGCCAGAAAAGGCCCTTTAACTGCCACACAGGCTGCTACCTGCATGTGCCAGAGCAGCTCAGGCAGTGACCTGGATGTGGGAGATTGGATCAGGATCCATAAGAACACTTCCGTACAATGCACCAAATCCTGAGGAATCAGAAGGAACCATTTGTGCCACCTGCAAGCGCTTTCCAGCAGCCCTGGAAGGGAACCACATCCTTCTGGAACTAAGCTAGTTTCTCGCTTACCCTGACACGTCCAGCCTGGGTTTTTCCAGCCCTATCTCAGCCAACATCTGCCCAAGAGTTGCTAAACCAGACGGGACCGAGAGCAGCAGCAGGAACTGCTGCGTTTGCAAGCCCATCTTTTCCCCTGGAGACAAGGTGCTGGCTTCCTCAAGCACAGAAAGCACTGCAAAATACCAAATATCTTAACTTTCAGTGTGAAGGAATAAAAACGTACCCAAAAGGTACCGACTGCCAGAGGCAAGACCCGCGAGACCATCGGAAGCTCTTCATAACACGAGAAGCACCAGGTAACACTCAGCTGCTGCAGAGCATGCGGCCCTTTTTCACCCTCTCAAGATCTTGTCACACTGAAGCACCTCAGCCTAAGGGGCTCACACGTTACAGTATTTGTGCACTTCCAGCTCCACCAAGGTGAGCTCAGCTCCTCAGCAGCACTACTCTGGCTGTGCTGGTCCCAGCTCAGCCTGCTCCCTCCGTTCCATAAAGTGAGTCCTGGGCTCCAAGATCCCATCCAGCGTTTTGTTAACTGCAGTCCAAGAGCCTCTGCACTGGTGGGGCTGCAGCTTGAGTCCTGTGCTCAGCTCTGGGCCCCTCACTACAAGAGAGACCTTGAGGTGCTGGAGCGGGGCCAGAGAAGAGCAACGGAGCTGGTGCAGGGCCTGGAGCCCAAGTGTGATGGGGAATGGCTGAGGGACCTGGGGGTTCAGTGTGGAGAAGAGAAGGCTCAGGGGGGACCTGATGGCTGCCTACAAGTGTCTGAGAGGAGGATGGAGCCAGGAGGGGCTGGGCTCTGCTCCCAAGGAACAAGGGATGGGACAAGAGGAAACGGCCTCAAGCTGCACCAGGGCAGGTTTAGATGGAGCTGAGGAACAATTCCTGCCCCAGAGGGTGCTCAGGCATTGGAACAGGCTGCCCAGGGCAGGGCTGCAGGCACCGGCCCTGCAAGTGTTCACAAACCCTATAGACGAAGCCTCAGTGCCATGGGGCAGTGGTGGCCTTGGCAGTGCTGGGGTAAGGGTTGGACTGGATGAGCTTAAATCTCTTTTCCAACCTGGTTGGTTCCATGGCTCCAAGAGGAAGCTGCTCAACACTGAGCCAGCCCGTGCACAGACAGAGCCCTCCAGCACTGGTAACTAACCACCTCTGAGAACTCACACAGGTAACTCAGCAAAACCTGCTTCATTCCAAGGGGGTATTTAACTCCCTCAGTAACATCCCATAGTAATCACTCTGGAATGACTTTAATAGACTTTCCTCCAGGTGCTTCCTGTTTATGCTGATAAACCAGAGCTCTCCTTCCATGGTTCCATCCATTTACAGCAGGGTTGGATGGGGGCAAAGAGGAATCAAAAGCCAGTGGTTAATAGGGTTGAGTGGAGACAGAAGCTGCTCCACCTGCACGATTTGGGCATTTATCCCTCTTAACTCCAGGGGAACCTGGGGATGTTCATTTAAAAGCATCAAAATGACATAAATAATGCAAGAACATAAACTCCAGGCTTGCAAACACTGTCCATCAGCTCAGAGCCCAGAACCACCCGGCCCCTGACACAAGAACAAGTGTGCTCTTTGCCCATCTCGGGCTCAGGCAGGGGGGAAAGCCCACCCAAAGAAGCCCAACACAATTTAGAGAGAAGCCTCCCTCAGCCTGGCTTCTGACACCACCTTCAGAACAGACTGGAACGTGTGAAGGTGGCACCTTTGCCCAGCCAAGCCGCTGGACTCATTTCATCCTCATGGTCCATCGCACACTGCCTGGGAAGAGAGAGGCAACCCGGCTGGTGGGGCTGGAGAGCAGGCTCAGAGCTCTGCACATCTGCAGCTCTGAGGGTCGTTATTGCAGGTCCACAAACACAACTGCTGTTTCTTAGCTGTGCACTCCAATGAAGGGTCCTCTCAGGGGTCAGGCACTAGGAACCCAAACGTTGTGAGGTGGTTTGTGGTCGATAGGGTGTCTGCTATCCTCTCCCATAATGACTGTGCACCTCGAAGATGAAGCCCTGTGTTCAAGGCAGAACTGACCTGTCATTAACACGTTTCTCCCACAGGACTGAGCTTTGCTTCCTTCAAACACCACCTTTGGACTGTGAGCCTTGGAAATGCTGCTCTTGCTGACCTACAAAGCCTTGTATGACAGGTTCTGCACCCCTCACAGCCAGCAGCGTGGCAGACGTTCTGACAGCGCTGCACATCAGTTCACAGAGCAGGAAAGGCCAAAGCCTTATCTGAGCTTTTCCCCTCCATGCAGAGGGCTCTGGCACAGCAGATCTGCAGCTGCTGGATGCGCTCAGCAACGCCTCATCATAAAGATAAGATCTGGTGATCATTTCTTGTGCTTTCCCCCTGTGTGCCACAAGCACCCGGCAGGCTTGGAGGCTGCTCTGGATCCGTGCACGTACACCAGAGCAAGCTGTTTTCCAAGCTGTACAAACATCGTGTCCTCTCGCTTCCTGGACTGGCCTCAGCTTTCGCTGCAGGGTTATTTTTGGCATACCTCTAATATTGGCTTCTCCTTAAGTGAACCCATCACCACAAACCTCCTCAACTGGAACTGGTCACTGCTCTGACGCTGCCTCAAACCAGGTTCTGTTTTACGCTGGTCCCCCTTGGTGTACAAGTACACAACAACATGAGTAAGAATCTAACATCATGTATTAAATCAAAATAACTGCTGGCACAAGGGGGGAATATCAGATGCTATTTCTGGCATTAATTGTCATGGAAAATTTATTTCTAATTAGCATGGGGCAATTATAAGTTAACGACAAGATGACATTGAACTCCTACAACACCAGCCTATGGGTGTATTCCAGGCTCCCTAAGAGGATGTGAGAGGAAGGATGAAGGTATCTTTTGTTTGCAAACACTGAAGAGCCAGCACGCTGATGCTGACTGTATCTGTGATGTATTACGCTCCCCAGACTCAGCTGTTCAACCACCAACAGATGGACCCTCAGTAGAGCTTAAGATTCATCCCTTGGGGCAGCAAGAAGAAAATCAGATGATCTCAAAGGACTGGAGTAATAGCAGAGCTCTAATACAGTTTCATGCTTAGGAGCCACTAACTTCCCATGTTAGCTCATCAGCTGGAGCAGAAGGATTTGGGTTACCTGCCACTCACTCAGCTGCCAGCGTAACACAGCCATGAAGAAAGCACACACAGTGTAAGGACAGCCACCAAAGTACTGCCAGAGTGTGGGAAGCTTTAACACCCATCACAAAGCATCAGTGCTCTCACAGCTGCAACATCCTACACATGGACAGCCATTTAAAGAAGAAAACTCAAACTGAACCACACAAAGAGCAGGGCTACCAAAAGATTACGGGGAAAGCAGGCTTATATTGAAGGGGGAGGCTAAAAGCAGAACTTGTTGCTTCAGCAAACTTTGTTTCCTTAACAAAACCAATGGTGTTGGCATAGGCGAGCTGGGTATAAATAAACCAGGTGGATAAGCACTAAGGAAGAGGAGCTGTTTACACGAGCAACGTGAAGCACAAAACCCTGCCAGCAATATAAAGCAACCCTGAGCTGGTCATAAGAGATACACATGGGGGAATAACAGGGCTCTAAAACCACCTGACAGCAGCACTGCATCAAAGCCAGCTACAGAGATCCAGCTTGAGGAGCTCACGCAGGAGACCTGAAGCGGCTGTACGTGATCACTGCCACCTGCCTGACCCCGAGGCTTCCTTCTGCCCTATAAATGGAAGCAGCACGCACGGACGGCCTGCGCCGCAGTTCCTTTGGGATGAGATCTGTCTCCTGGAACAGCACCACTGGACTGCCTCATGGGAGCTTCCCAAGGCACTCTGTAACTGGAGGGCTGAGCCTGGGTCTCGGGGCCTGCAGAACCTGCCTGCGGGACAGGGATGCACAATGCTGCTGCTCTCCTCAATGCACTCGGTGTCTGAGGTGATCGGGTATGTGACTGAACCAAATGCAGGATTCACATCTGCTGAAAAGGACTCCACTCCAGACCAGCACCTGCTGCTGCTGAGACGGGAACATGCAGAGGTGGCTCAGTCTAGGCTAGAAGTTGGCTGCAGACATCTGTGGACCTTCCCCATCCAGTTTGCACTGCTTTCTTCTAGGGAATAAACCCAACTTCCATCCCAAACACAATCACTGGATGTTCGACACTGAAAGCACCCACATACCACCCATGTCCTTAAAAGCAGCAATTGGTCTTACAGGAGGAACCACAATTAACTGTAACAGAAGGGAAAGCCTAAAACCTGCTATTTAAAAGACCTTAGGAATGCCAACCTGTGAATCAACCAGAGGTGTGCTGTGGGCATTGCTCTAGAACTGAGGCTTTTAACGTGCCTGCTGTTTCTCATAAGGAAGAGCATTCCATAACTGGAAGGTTAAATGTTTGGTATAGGAAGTACTTACAGCTTTATCTGACTATAGGACAGCCTAATGCTTTCAGGAATATTGTGTGAGTCTATATAAATGCCCTCAATTCTTTCTCAATGATTCACAGCTAAAATAAGCAAAAGATCAAAGATACTTTAATAAGTTCATATTCACCTGATATAACCCTACAGGGAAGAGGCTTTGTGCTGTGCTTTCAAATGCTTTCAGGACCTACAGCCTTACTAGAAATCTTTACAATCACAATCAAGTGCCTCTGCTCCATCAGCTATTGCAGATAATGGGCATAGGCAAAGGCAGTGCAGTGCTCCAGCGAGCGGATGCATGGGCAGACGTGCAGTCCCAGTGCAGAAAAGAGGGATAAACAAGGGAAGTTCAGGTTCCAAGAATGTGGCAGCTCACACAAAGCTTTTTACTCCCAACAGGAAGCCAGGACAGGGAGATCCAACAAGAAATACCCAGTGTACAGGCAGCCTGGAAGCACAGAATGCTCCGCATGCTGTTTGGAGGCGGGGTGGAAGCTGGGAGGTAAGTGTGTAGTAACGAACCTCTCTTGCTATTTAAATTACTACTTACCTTCTCTACAAGTAACAAACATTTATGTGCACCATAAACCATGCAATTTACCAGAAATAGGTGACTTCAGCAAGGGGAATTACCTGGATGAGGTCTTGAAAATGGTCCATCTTTAGCTTGTGTCACTCCAAAACACAGGAAAACCAAGATACTGGCAACGATACCTCTGCAAGGGAGAAACAGAACAAGCTGCTCACATTGCTGCACCTTCTAATGACACTGGAAATGATACTCTTTGATGGAAACTATGTCTGGTCTCTGTTTCCTAATTACCAACCATGTCCCTCATAAATAGATGCCTTTTGGAGATCATGTTTCAGGGAAACAGGTATAAATTCCTGTACATCCAAGCAGTAATTTGCTTGCCAGACTGTCTCAAACCCCAAAGTTTACTCCCCACCAACTTCCATTCCCTTGCGTGTTGTTGTCATTTCCTCCTATCCATCAAGCCAGGGGAAAAGCCTGATCTGGCCAAGAACTCCTCCAGCCCGAAGGAAGCAGAAGGAGCAGTGCCCTGATGCACACAATGAGCCTTGGCCTGCAGATCACCACGACATGCACGGCTGTCAAATGCTTCCCCTTTGAGAAGCTTTATGCCCATTTTGGCAGAAAAACACAATTTAGCAGTGAGAAAACCCTCAAGCTTGAGAGCTTCTCAGCAAGAGAGCTTCAGTGCAATTGCAAATGAACATCACCACTCCAAAACATTTCCTTAGCCAAGCAAAGACAAGGAGGAGCAGATCAGCCCAAACACTGCTGCTGTTTCAAGACTTTACATAGAGCCTAACAGAAGGTGAGAGAGACATTAAAGAACCAAAAAGGATTATCAGACCATGAGCCCAAGGACAATGGAGACCCAGAGCTGCATCCCAGCACCCCCAGGCCAGACCTACACAGTTAAGTCCTGCTTAGGGACTGCCCTGGTCCTGTCCCTTCCAGGAGGCACCATTTCTGTGTGTGATCAGTGAGGTGGTGCAGGGACTGATCCGGCTGAGAGCTGAGGAAAGGCTTGCTTAGAGCTGGACAGGCTGAGAGAGCTGGGCTCTTCTCTCAGCCAGGAGAAGAGAAGGCTCCTGAAGGGGAGGCCTGAGAGCAGCTCCAGTGCCTGAAGGAGCTGCAGGAAACCTGGAGAGGGGCTTGGGACAAGGGCCTGTAGGGACAGGCCAAGGGGAATGGCTTGAACCTGCCAGAGGGGAGACTGAGATGAGCTCTTAGGCAGAATGGAAGAAGCTGTTGGAACTGGATGAGCTTTAAGGTCCCTTCCAACCCAAATCATCCTGTGATTCCATGGAAAACCAACTCCTGTCCCAGTGGCTGTCACAAGGGATGCAGCAGCCAACGTGTCAGATTAAGCGTGTGAGGAGCTGAACCCTTAGGGCACAGAAGGCTCCCGGAGGAGATCCAGACCAATCAAACCAAGCATGCAGCTGCCAAGATCCAGGATTTGAAACCCACTCATTACATGCAGCCTGGTTTTCAATGCAGCTTTCCTCTGCAAATGAGGAAATGAGAACACTCGCATCCAAACACCCTTACTCCCAGGACCCCATCGTTCAGCGTGAGGACCAGACCTGTAGACACCGAGGTACCAGTCAGGTGCTGAGGTCTGGCATCTCATCTCAATGTACCTGACATCAACTTAAACATCTCCTCAGATGAGATTTTTAACATCTCCCATGCACAAAATGGCTTTTCTTTTCCAGAGGCTCTTGTCTTTCCTGAAGTCCATGGGCTGGACTTGGGCATGTTCCTTTAGTCCTAATGGATGCAACTGTGCAAAGCGACCCACAAATGCCTTTTACTGCGTCTGAACTCCCAATAAACCTTTCCTGCTTTCTCACATTACCCTGTTAAGAGCTGGCTGAAGAGCTGACACTGAGCAATACCTCCCACCCCACGTGGGCCTGCCTGCAGCCGGTGCTGCAGCCCTGGGCTGTAAATAAAAGGGCTCCATTCGCAGGAGCCAGAGAAAATAAAATACCCAAGAAAATAAAAAGAAAATAAAATACCCGAGAACTTTTCTTTCCTTGAGGAACTGTCACATACCAGGAGCTCCTATTGAAACAGTTCACAAACCCCTATCCAAAGAGAAAACAAAGGGATTTATGAACACTGTTCTGTGACATTCACCTCTGAGTGCCAAAGTCTGTGCTTCCTGTTGTATCAGTTCTTCTGCTCGCTTCCTGACACTGGGAGCACAACAGAATTCCCTACTGAATCAGTGAAGAGAGTCCCATCAGGAGTCTCGGAGCTGAAGCTGCGGACAGCTTTCAGCTGATCTCAGATAATAAGAATATTCTGCATCTTGAGGCTGTATTTAGAAATACTGGGAGTACAAATTTACACGTCCACAGAGTCTGCATTCTGTGTCGTGCAACTATACGTGTCTGCTCACAATCACTGCATGAACCAGGACGTCCAGGATCACTGCTTTAGTCCTTGCAAGGGTAACTTCCCCCAAGCTGGAGATGACCTGAATCTAAACCACCCCAGGAACTGAATTCTGTTCCCTTTCCTAACATCCACTGAGGCAAACAGCAGCTCTGCTGGGATCAGCTGCAGTTCCAGCTGGAGGAGTTCACTTTTCCCTCTGGTAACTGAGCATCCCTCAGCTGCCTCCTCACACAGCTCTTTCAAAGCCTGCCCAGCAGCCTAACCTGCTGGTTTAGTGCAACTCCAGGTAAGAGATCCTCTGGGATTTGAGAGGGGTTTCTCCAAACTGCCCCTGCAAGCAGCCCGATGGCCACGGCAAATGAATCTTCTGGAGCAGCACACTGGGAATCATGGAATGGTTTGGTCTGGAAAGGACCTTAAAGCTCCTCCAGCTCCAACCCCTGCCATGGGCAGGGACCCCTTCCACTGGAGCAGCTTGCTCCAAGCCCCTGTGTCCAACCTGGCCTTGAACACTGCCAGGGATGGGGCAGCCACAGCTTCTCTGGGCACCCTGTGCCAGCGCCTCAGCACCCTCCCAGGGAAGAGCTTCTCCTTATCTCCAACCTGAACTTCCCCTGTTTCCATTTGAACCCATTACCCTTTGTCTTGTCACTCCAGTCCCTAATGAAGAGTCCCTCTCCAGCATCCTTGTGGCCTCCTTCAGACACTGGAAGCTGCTCTGAGGTCTCCACGCAGCTTCTCTTCTCCAGGCTCAACAGCCCCAGTGTTCTCAGCCTGGCTCCATAGTGGAGGTGCTCCAGGCCCTGATAATCCTGTGGTGGCCTCCTGTTTTGGAAGACACTAAAGAGCAAAGTGTGCTACAAAACTTACTTTAGCACTGAACCAAACCAGAAAAGAAGAGCACAGCAAGAGCTGCAGTAGCACACAGCAGCTGTTGTTTGTGTTGGTGGAGGAGTCGATTCAGAGGCACAAGACAATGGATCCTGTCTATGAGCATCTGTCTATCGCTCTTTGTTCATGGTGGCTAATGCGGCAGCTCCCACTGCTGCTCCCTCCCTGCTGCAGGGCAGCAGCACGAGTGGTGCCATTCCCCAGTGGTACCACAAGCTGCACACGAGGTGCAGCCTCCTCCTCACCGTGTCATCTCAGTGGGTGCTCAGCCACAGGAGCTGGAGGGCATCAGCTCACGAACAGCCCTCGGTCCGTTACCACGGCTGAGCAGTGAGCTGCTCCTACCAAAAACTAGTGTGAAAAGGCACCTTAAAGAGCGAGCCTTTCATGGTTTGAAATTCAATGCACAACCCACTGCACACAGGACTTCTTAAACCTGGATGTGGTTTTATATGGGAAAACACGAACCCTTTCCCCCAGAACCTCTGCACAGCGCTCAAGGTATCAGGGAGATGTGGATTTGCTCCACAGCCACTCTATGCACAGGGGGTGGCTGAATATGCACTTGGCTGCCCTCAGAGCTGGAGCTCAATCCTGTCAGCTCCTCCTGGGTGCTGAAGGGTGGTTGTCAGAGGGGCTGGACTATTCCAAGGCTGCTCTGAATGCTGCAGAACTGTGTGAGTAAGAAGTCTCACTGATGAGACAGGCTTTGATGCAACATCTCTTTGGCTATGAAGTGAATTCCCAAGAGCCTTTACAAGAGAGGCAATCTGACTGCACGCACCACACGATCCCACCAACACCTCTGGGCATGATCCCAGTGAACTCGGACTGGATTCACAGCTGGAACATTTCTAGAAACCCTACCATAAAAACCTAACCTCCTTCCCTTGCCCTGACACGCTGCAGGGAGGGAAATGGCACCAAATGGCAGCATGTGAACAGACACACGTATAAATCCTGCCTATAGACACCACACCCCATGATCTCACAGGTTCATGCTCCGATTTGTTCCTTGTCCGTCATTTAAGCTGATGACTTGTTGCACAAATCCCATCACCCACCCTGCCCTCAGCTCCTTCCTGAAGAGAATGGAGGAAGAGACTTTTATAGGGGAGAAGCTGGGACCTCAGCTCACTCCTTGCTGCTTTAGTGAGCCCAGGAACCACAGCAACAGCAGCTAGCAAAGGAATCGTGTATTTACTCCAAGGTGATGCTCTGCTCTAAGCACCTAATGCAGTTCACAGGCATTTAGGCACCTCCCAGCAGGAGCTCGAAGTCAAAGGAGGTTCAAGCCTTTGTGACCATGTATTTAGAGTGTGCACTTCAGGCCAGGACACTGCTCCACTGTCATTGTGCAGAGCTTGGAAATAAAGGAGCATGACAGCTACAGACCCTGCTCACTGCTAATAAACCCACTGCTGTTCATTAAGCAGGACAGCATCACCATGAAGTATCTGCACACGGGGACAGCCTCACACTGGCAAAGGGTTTAGATCAGCCCACACGACAGCTCTACATGAAGACTGAGCAAGATCACAGGCTAGGATAAGGGATTTTAAGCCATGGAAGTCACAGGCAACAACCCGTGCAAGCTGGGGATATGGATCTACTTCTGCATGTTGTGACCATCTTACTCCTGCTCTGAAATGCCTCTCCTTGTCCAAATACACACTTAAAGAGCCACATAAAACTGGTCAGGAACAATGAGATGTACGAGAGCAGCAGGCACCCGGATGCTAAAGAGGAGAATAGCTGGGACACGAGGTGAGCTGGAATCCTTCACACTTGATGGTGCTAAACTTGGCTTAGCCCCTACCTCAAAGACCTTAGAAAAGAGACTCAGTGGAGATCAGAGAGGAGTTCACTGAAAACTGAGTGTAAGGAGTGTGTGGACACAGACTCTGCCATCCCTTCTGTAAATCAGGGCCAAGGCAGAGCTTAGGAAAGGCCCACAGGACTCATGTTATGTCTGCACTGATCTCAGCTTGAAAGAAGCAATGATCTGCAGTTAACTGTTGTCTCTGAATTCACCATGCAGCTTGGCTGGCTGTGGCAACAGCACAAGGGTGAAGCCTGAGTGGAAACAGAGATGTAGCCTTCAAAACCAATAACAAAAAACAACATTTGGAAGACCATAATCAGTTCTCAGGATGCTGCTTTTCAAGTAGTTTTGCATCTAGATACTGCAGGCAGCATTCCACAACCAGCACTGCAGAAGGCACCGAAGAGTATGCACAGAATCATAGAATAGAATCCCAGCCTGGTTTGGGTTGAAGGGAGCTTAAAGCTCCTCTAGCCTGCCACGGGCAGGGACCCCTTCCACTGGAGCAGCTTGCTCCAAGCCCCTGTGTCCAACCTGCCCTTGAGCACTGCCAGGGATGGGGCAGCCACAGCTTCTCTGGGCACCCTGTGCCAGCGCCTCAGCACCCTCACAGGGAAGAGCTTCTGCCTAAGAGCTCATCTCAGTCTCCCCTCGGGCAGGTTCAAGCCATTCCCCTTGGCCTGTCCCTGCAGGCCCTTGGCCAAAGCCCCTCTCCAGAACCTGGAGAGAGACACTCACTGCTGCTGCCTTGTATGACGCTGTTAAACAGATTTTAACAACTGGGCACATTATTCCCTCCACTGAACATGCCGAAAGCACCCTGTATTTCATGAAAGAAAGGTTAATCTGCTGCTTAATCTTCTCTGGTTTGTTTTTATTAAAGCAGTAAAAGCTCTAATCCCAATAGTAAGATATTCCACTGAGTCACCTCAGATCTGTATTACTGCCCACCGATGTGTCATCACTTCTCTTCCAGCTTTTCCCCTTCTTTACTTGAGCTGCCGCTGCAGGGAATGTCACAGCTCCATCCGGTCCCTGGGCTCACTGGGACTAAGGTGGCATTTGTGCCCCCCAAAGCCTTGCAGAAGCTTTCCCAGCTCCAAGCAGGGCACACACGGTGTTCAACTTGTTCCATTCCACACCCTCAAGTGAAAATGCAAACCCTCAGCTCAGCACAAGTGTGTGAGTTACGTGTGACACATCTATTGTGTAAGTGGCAGAGCAACAAGCAAGGTTAGCTCAGGAAATAGCCCAATTCCTGCATCTCCAGGACAATGAATGCTGGAATCTGAGTCACTTCAGAAAATGTGAAAAATACCAAGAAACCCTTTAATAGCAAGGGTTGTGGCTAATAGAGTGGTGTAGTTAAGAAACCAGAATGATTTCCATGCTGACAGCAAGGATGCTTTGCAGTCTGTAAGCATCCCCTGCATCTTTAAGATATACTTAGCTTTTTAGAAGACCGCTTTTCTTCCGACTTTGGGTTCCCTGCTGTATTTCTTTAAAAGAGGAGAAATTCAACCACATTAGGGTAGGTCACCTTATACTGGAGCAGGCTGCTCCAAGCCATGTCCAGCCTGGCCACTCACTGCTACGGGAGTGAGTGCCACTGACCTGATTAGAAATGAAGCTCACGGAGCAGCAGCAGAGCAGCTTAGACTTACGCTTGGTTGTCACTATCTAAGGTTGAGCCCTTAAAACAGCTTAATGCAAAGGTCACCTGAGGTGGCTTATGCCCAAGGTAAGAGCGTGGACAGTGAGCTGTTCATGCAGCTGCCCTCCTGTAAAACACACCTTACAGGAATCCCTTCTCAAGCATTTACCTCTTTGTGTTGTAGGCTGTGTCTTGAGGTGTTTCTTCAAGCAGGGTCACGTAGCCCAGCGCGCACGTGAGGATGAAGAGGACTGTTAAGGTATGAGCTCTCCTACAATGCAGAGGACAGAAAATTGGCATCAGAAAGCAGAAGAACTTCGATCCATCAGTGAAGCCTCAGCCAGCCCAGCACACACACAGTGCTCCACAGCACTAAAGCTGTTTTATGGATTGCACAGCACAGAAAGCAGGGTTTTCAATGGCACTAAATTTAGTTCCCAGCCCATTGTGCACTCGCACCGACAGGAGCCTGCCACAAGGACAGGTCTTGCCCATGTTCCCCTTGAGCCTGGAGTTGAGGAGGACTTGGGCAGATGCTTGCCAAGTGACCAAGAGCAGCTTGGAAAGCCCAGCACCACCTGTGCTAACAGAGATCCAAACCCATCAGGTCCCTCTCCTGCTTTGTCAGGTATGGACCTGGCAGTGCTGCTGCCCCGCTCCGTCCAGGCCAGGTAATAAAAACTGCAGCACACTAACAATGGAACAGAAGGGAATTCACTCCAGCCATGGGAATTGTGCCTTACAAGGAAAAGCAGCCATTAAACCCCCCCTTTTCTGAATGGGACCAGTTGCAATTGGAAGAATTGTGAAGCTGCCTCTAGATGCCTTACTTCCTGTAGATCGTGCTTTCATCCCAGCTTGGATCTGAAGGGCAGGTACAGACTCACGGCTAGAAGTGGGTGCCCACAGAACCAGAGGTTTGTACTTGCAGAACCAGAGGTTGGTGCCCTCAGAACCACATGCAGCTATCTCTGCACAAGGGGTTTCTGCTGAACCAGCTCTGCCGTGCCAGCCAAGCTCCCCAGCAAAGCCTGGGGGTTGCTGATCCAGGCTGTTAAAGCGTGCAGCTGGCTGGTGTAACACACTGGTACAGGCATACTGCTGCTGTGTGTGCAGCCACAAGCTCACACTGATTTGGGTAAAGCATTTGGGTGTGAAAGGAAAAGAGCCAAGTACCCACAGTCACACCAGGAGTGAAGAGGGGAACTCACTGCAGCCAGCTGATACCACACACATGCACCTGCTGACTACAACACACACTGTTCCTACACTGCTCTGGCTGCACTGCCTTTAATTCCAAGGTGAACACCCCTTCCCTAATGAGAAGCCATTTATTGTTGAGTGGAAAACTTCTCTGACCTCAGCTCAGAAGCATGGGAAGTCTTAAATGGCCATTTAAGATCAAACCATACAGACACAAGTCTGTTTTCGAGGTCTACACAACATCTCTTTATAGAAGCAACTAAACACAAGTATAAAGCATCAAGCTTAGAGAACTGAAAAACGGAATGAAAACGACTGTGATGGATATTTGTACATACTGGCTCTATTTACATTTTCTCTTTATATTCTACTGGAATAAAAGCTAGCATTACATTTCCATTTTATACCAAAAGACCAAAGTTTGTACATGTTGTACACTGCTCAATAAACCAGAGCTCACTGAGGATTGCCAAGCAGCCCACTGACCTACCTTCAAACACCAACGCCAGTAACCCGCCTAGAACTGCTCTGAAAGTGAAGGTAAGCACTACTGTGAGCTACATTTTCTGCCTAATCCCACTCACAGCCACTACTCACAGTATCCTTTTAATCCCACTGGAAGACACATGCAATACCTCATAAGCAGATGCAATCCTCTTCTGCCACTGCTGGAAAGGTGCTGGGTGTTTAACACTCTCCTCCCTGGCAGTCCCCAGGACACACACTAACCAGCTCCAGAGGGAAAGCAAGAGGGCCTCCGAGCATTCCCAAAGTGAGGAAAGAATCAACGTGTCCAAAAGCCTCCAAATCCCAAGGTGGCTTCACAGGACAAGCTTCCTGCTCCACGGACGCATCCTGCCCTGGCCGAGCCGCCCCGGATGCTGAAGCCCAGGTGATTCACACTTCACATACCTCACATTCACCAAGAGCCACGTGAGGAGGAGCCTGCTTGGAAACCTGCGGGAGCTGAACATCTGAAACCCCAGCCTCTGAACGGAGGCACCGCACCGGGGCCGGACGGGATGCTCGGATTCACCTACATCAGAGCACGCCCTTGCTCGTTGCATTTACACATGTATGCAATACAGAACCAACCTGCATGCTGATCAGAAACAAAGCTCACGGTAAATGCAAGGCTCTGCACTGCATTTTACCTGCTTTATTTTAACTGTCTTGAAACTAGTACCTAAGAGGCTACTAAACTAAACCTAGAAACGCTGACTTCCACCCGATCATTTCACCTCCTGAACACCCAGATGAAGTCAATGACCTTTTCAACGCATTCAGCATCGCGTAAATTGCCAAAACTTCAGTTGTGAGCATGTCCTCACTCAGACAAACACATCTAGAAACCTGCCTAGTAGAGCAACGATGGCCTGCTTCCATCCACCCTTGGGGGGCATTGGCAGCAAAGCACGTGGTCAGTGTTGGAGCACGTCATGGGTGCTGTTTTCCTTTATTACTGGTGCTGCAACCATCAGCTTGGAACTCGGGAGGCTCCTCTGTTTCATGGGGAACAAGAGGCTCTGCATCTCCTCATGCTCCTTTCAGCTCAGTTCTCACCTCCAACTGAAGCCAGATTCTCTTGCAGCAAGTGTTCAAGATGGTTACTCACAGAATCAGAGCAGTTTGTGCTGGAAGGGACCGAGACCTCATCTCAGTCTCCCCTCGGGCAGGTTCAAGCCATTCCCCTTGGCCTGTCCCTACAGGCCCTTGTCCCAAGCCCCTCTCCAGCTTTCCTGCAGCCCCTTCAGGCACTGGAGCTGCTCTCAGGTCTCCCCTTCAGGAGCCTTCTCTTCTCCAGGCTGCCCCAGCCCAGCTCTCTCAGCCTGGCTCCAGAGCAGAGCTGCTCCAGCCCTCGCAGCAGCTCCGTGGCCTCCTCTGGCCTCGCTCCAACAGCTCCAGGTCCCTCTGGTGCACATGTCTTTTCAGCCTAGCATGAAGTCCAGAAGCCACAATGAAAGCTCTTCTCCATCAGTTTGCTTTCTGGGAAGAGCACGTTGGCAGCTCCAACCAGGAAACTGCAAGTGTGACAGTGATGAGAGCTGCCAGAGGCAGCAGAGCATCACACAACCTACCTGCCATAGGAACAAAGGGAGGAGGGGAGCGGAGGGGAGGGAAAGGGCAAGTAGCCACAGGTACACAGGGTATCCACCACAGCTGAGTGTGAAAGCAGAAATCCACATCACCTGGAACAAGGCAAGAAGTGAAGCAGTTACAGCAGCCACAGAGGGAACAGAAACACGAGGGAAGCTGGGAGGAATGAACCTGCAGGAAGGATTGGTTCTGTCTCCACACACTTACAATAACCCAGCAGCAAACAGCACACACTAAGCACAGCCCAGGTGGGCCAGCACTGCAGGGGTCAGCTTTCCTGCACCAGCATTTCCCTGTCCTTCTACACCTCCCCTCTGCCTCTCTCCTCGTTTAAACCCCAGGGCATCCAAGTGAAATAACGCAGGTTTCCCTGTCACCGACACCAGCATCCCAAGGGAAGCGATGTCCCCCGGTGAAACCAATCCTGCACACTCCTGCCACGCTGAGCCTCTGAGTTCACCACTTGCATTGCTTCTGGTAGCGGGGCCTGCCTTTGCCCGCCCCTCACAAGCACGCCCAGAACCTCGCGTTGAATCCCACCGCGTTTTCCCATGTTCCCCTTAAAAATTCCTGGAGCGTGCTTACAGAAAAGGCACCGATGCAGGACCACAGATCCAACCAGGTGGAAAAGAGCCCTTCAAGCTCATCCAGTCCAACCATTGCCCAGCACTGCCAAGGCCACCACTACCCCACGGCACTGAGGCCTCATCTCCACGCTGTGTGAGCACTTGCAGGGCCGGAGCCTGCAGCGCTGCCCTGGGCAGCCTGTTCCAATGCCTGAGCACCCTCTGGGGCAGGAATTGTTCCTCAGCTCCATCTGAACCCCCCCGGCTCCATCCTGCTCACGCCACCCTCAAGAGACGCCCACCCTGCCTGTGACAAGGGTCAAACACTGGGTGCTGACAGCGAGGGATGAGCCTGGCTGGGTTCACACCTGCAGGGCCCTCCTGAGCACAGCACGGGGGGGACGCAGCGGGGCCCTGGCCCCACGTGCCTCAGCCAGGGCAGCTCTGCCCGGGTTGGATGCTGAGGAGGGAGCCAGCAAACAGAGCAGAGCCTCTGCAGTGGAATGACACGGGATGCTTCCCATGAGCATGAGGATCGCTGCCTTGGAAGGGCTGCAGCCAACCCAGCCTCTGCCACCTTGGACATCTCCGGTCTCCCTGAGCCTCAAGGTCCTCTCCAGCCCTCAGCACTCCGGGATTCCCAATGCTGTATTTCCAAACCCGGCTGCTCTGCATGCACGGATCCTCATTCCCAACGGAGCGTCCCTGCGCTGGCCATCGGGAAGGATTTCTCACAAGCCCAAATAAACCAAAGCACCCAGGCAGAGGCCCTTTCCTTGCTGCATGCTCCATGCTCTTTGCACTGACCAGGCGGAAGGAATTCCTACAAGGCTGTATCAGCCCATAGAGAGTCTCCCATCACCACTTCCCTGGGTTTTTCCTTATCTCCCTTTTTAACTTAAACTCCCTGAGCTGCACAGGTCTCTGCCATCACACTAGAACGTCGTGACCAACGCCACAGCCACATGATGGCAATGCAGAGACAGGACACATTAATAACCAGCAGAGGACACGAAAGGTAATTACATTCAAATTAAAGTATAGCTTGGCAAAAGCAACTAAGGCAGAGTCACATCGTAATGTGGCGATGAAGATCTGCCTGGCAGCTCCCAACACCTCTAAATCAAGACGGATGCCTTGCTGCAAGGCTTGGGTTAAAGACAGGCTCTGAAATGCACCCGGCAATCAGGGGCACACAGGTATTAGGAGGGAAGCACTCGCAATGTCTAACTGGGTGATCCCGAACGGGTAACCCAAGGCTGGGCTGGCATGGAACACCCCAGACCCCCCCCCCGGCCTCGTGCTGCCTCTCACTGGCTGCCGGGAGGGGAGGAACGTTTGCTCTTCTCTGCAGGAGGGTTGCAGCACACCCCTGCATCAATCACTGACGAGGGCAGACAAAGCAAGCCACCCTCTCTGCAGGCAGGCACCCACCTCCTCCCTGGCTTTAGGCATCTGCCACAGCCCCTGCTCACGGTAACAAACCCAGCCTTCACCGGACTCGCTTCCACACAGTAAAGTCCCATAGCAGAGACCTGCAACACATCAGCACCCGCTCTTGTGCGGGTTACAGAAGCAAAGCCACAGGGATGCTGTAGAGTGCTCGGGGGGGGCATTTAACAACCCAAACCAACCAGCCCAGGGCCTTTCCCATGCTAGCTCAGGAAAAACATCAGATCCACTGTGCTCACCCCATACAAAAACTGAGTCAACATCTCGGCCACAAAGAGCCCCTTTGTTTGTGCTCAGAAGCCGATTCTGGAAGCAGACAGGCAAGAAACAATCAAAGGTACTGGGAACAACAGGGAACTGCCCAGAGCACAGCCTGCCAGGCAGGCCTGGCATTCCCAGCTCCTGACAGCTGGGATCGATGCTTGGAAACGAGTTCAGGGATAAAGGTACAGAAACCACCAACGTGCTCCATAAAGCTCCTGCCTGGTCCTTTCCCAGCGACACAAGAGCTGTCAGGACACACTGGCTGAGCAGTCCCACCTCACAGCTCAAACACAGGATTGCCCAGCTTCAAGAGATCGAGACTGCATATGAATTATATAGCATTTAACTTGTCATTCCAAGTTCAGGCATTATACATGTAGATATTATATCGCATGTAACTTGTTATTCCAAGTTTATGCATTAGATATATAGATATTATATAGCATTTAACTTGTCATTCCAAGTTCAGGCATTATACATGTAGATATTATATCGCATGTAACTTGTTATTCCAAGTTTATACATTATATATATAGATATTATATAGCATGTAACCTGTGATTCCAAGTTTATGCATTGATATATAGATATTATATAGCATGTAACTTGTGATTCCAAGTTTATGCATTAGATATATAGATATTATATAGCATGTAACTTGTGATTCCAAGTTTATACATTATATATATAGATATTATATAGCATGTAACTTGTTATTCCAAGTTTAGGCATTATATATGTCAATATTATATAGCACGTAACTTGCCATTCCAAGTTTAGGGATTATAGATACAGATATTATATAGCCCGTAACTTGTCATTCCAAGGTTAGGGATTATAGATGCAGATATTATATAGCCCGTAATTTGTCATTCCAAGTTAGGTATTATAGATACAGATATTATATAGCACATAACTTGTCATTCCAAGGTTAGGGATTATAGATACAGATATTATATAGCACGTAACTTGTCATTCCAAGGTTAGGGATTATAGATACAGATATTATATAGCACGTAACTTGTCATTCCAAGGTTAGGTATTATAGATACAGATATTATATAGCACGTAACTTGTCATTCTAAGTTTTAGCAGGAGTTACATGGAGCAGGGACCTGAAGCACCACTTTTGCCCGAGGATTGCACTTACAGCAGCAGAATTCCCTTTGCAAACTGAACACTTCTGGAATGATTCCTGACAGCGTCTACAAGTCCCGGGCTCCTGAATCTGCCAAACTGAGCTACGTGAGAAACCTTATCCCAGCTTCTGAACTTCAGAGGGAAAAGGCATTTTCCACACTTCAGAGACAGAGGGCATCTACTCCCTTCCGCTCCCGTTTTCCCTGAGCACCTCTGAACACACAGCACAAGAGGAATCCCAGGGCCACAGGGATAAATCCTTCCACTGCATAAGCTCCATTCTCAGCCCCTGTCAGAACAGACTCACTACCAAGGAGTTCCTCACACACTCGGGGCTCTTGGGCACGGGTCTAAAGGAACAGCAGGAGAAGCCCGGAACCTCTGACAAGCTTTAAGCTGCTGCTGCCCGCACGAGGGACACGCACTGCTGGGGGAAAGGAAGCAGACAGACGAGCTAAGGGACAAGCTGCTGACACCCGTGTCCTCGCTGCCCTCGGGAAGGGACGAGCTGGCAAAGGAGAAGCTCCTCGGGGCGCTCGGCCCTGCAGAAGAACTGTTCATGGGGGCAAATGAGCCTCACATACAGCCTCCGAGGCCAAACCTTCACAGGGAGCAGACGGCCCCACAACAGCAGGGAGGTGCAAGGAGGGGAGGTCACACAATAAACCCAGCATCGGGTGTTTTTAAGGCACCACAAGACACCAGACAAGAGCCACCTCAGCCAGGCAAGAAGAAAAGGACAATTTTACCCATTTTCCATTTATAAGGAGGCTCCACTCCGCAGGCTCGGCAGGATCCAGGTACTCAGCAGCCTACATGTGCCAACGCTAACGGGTGCTCCAAGAAAGCTCCTCTTCCCTCAAGACGAAGATGTCCTCGGCAGCACCTCCGTATGTCAGGCTTGTGCAGAGCCCCCCCTGCGACCCAGCAGCATCCCAGTGCTCCTTTGCAGTGTGCACTAGCAGAACTATCACCTAGAACCAGCAGCTTCATCCACATCAACACCCTCTGCTCCACTTGTGCCCAGGCAGGCAGGGAGAGAGCCAAGCACCCTCCCCCTGCTGCTCCTTAATGTCAAACTGGAGCCAAATCACATCGCCCTCAGCTCATGTTCCAACAAGGGACCTCAGTGACAGCCTGGCCGCCTTAGGCAGGGAGGACGTGAGGTTAACACGCACAGGAAACCTCTGCATGCATACACACGTGTGCTGAAGGGCATTCCTGCAACAGCTCCAGCAAAGATGGGGCTTAGAAGCGCTTTTCCAGGTACAAGCACATCCCCTCCTGCGAGGATGGAGTTTAACAAAACACTGTTTTACCCCATGGCCTAACAAACAGTTACGGCTTCTGCATGGAGCGTGCCCCAGGACCACACAGAACCCCTGACCAGCAGGGCTTTAGCACAGCCGGAGCTCTCTACAGGGCTACAGGAAAGGACTGGGCAGCAAAAGGCTTCTTCCAAGGCTGAGGGAAGGGGGAAAAGGTGAAGCCCATATAAATGATCACAGAATCAACCGGGTGGGAAAAGAGCTTCAAGCTCATTCAGCCCAACCCTTACCCCAGCACTGCCAAGGCCACCCCCAACCCATGGCACTGAGACCTCGTCTCCATGGTGTGTGAGCACTTGCAGGGCCGGAGCCTGAAACCTGCCCTGGGCAGCCTGTTCCAATGCCTGAGCACCCTCTGGGGCAGGAATTGTTCCTCAGCTCCATCTAAACCTGCCCTGGTGCAGTTTGAGGCCGTTTCCTCTTGTCCCATCCCTTGTTCCTTGGGAGCAGAGCCCAGCCCCTCCTGGCTCCATCCTCCTCTCAGGCACTTGTAGGGAGCCATCAGGTCCCCCCGAGCCTTCTCTTCTCCACACTGAACCCCCCAGCTCCCTCAGCCCTTCCCCATCCCGCCTGGGCTCCAGGCCGGGCTCTGGCCCCGCTCCAGCACCTCAAGGTCTCTCCGGCAGCGCGGGACGATGCCCACAAGGGAACAGGGCTCAGCAGGGCGGGCTCTGCACAGCCCGGGGGCCCCGCTGAGGAAGGAACCCGCGGCGGTGCCGCTGCCACGCTCGGTCCGGGGGAGCAGCCGGAGCAGTACCGCGGAGCGGCCCCGCCGCAACCCCCGGCCCAGCGCAGCTCCCGCGGCCCCGCTCGGTACCGGTGACCCCGCCCGCGGCGCGGGGGCTCTCACCAGAAGAAGGTGTTGGTGCCGTCGTCGAAGACCTCGGACTCGGTGCTGCGGCGGGGCCCGGGCCCGGGGCCGGGGCCGTTGTGCTGCGGGCTCGGCTCCTCCAGCGCGGCCTTACCGGGACCGGGGCCCGGGCCGGGCCCGCGCCGCTCCCCGCGCCTCATGGCGGCACCGGGGCGGGGCACGCTCCCGTGCGACCCGCGCATGCGCAGAGCGCTCCCGCGGGAGGGCGGGCTCAGGCGGGGCGTCCCTTGTTGCCGTGGCAACCGCCCCCTCCCCCCCCGGGATGCTCCGCCCCCGGGGCGCCGCCGGGTCCTATCGCCCGCCCGCTGCCAGCTCCCCCGGGGACGCTCAGCGCGTCCTGAGCGGGGGAACGACGGAGTGGTGCGTGATGGAGGGGAGCTCAAAGCTCCTCCAGCCCCAACCCCAACCCCTTCCACTGGAGCAGCTTGCTCCAAGCCCCTGTGTCCAACCTGGCCTTGAGCACTGCCAGGGATGGGGCAGCCACAGCTTCTCTGGGCACCCTGTGCCAGTGCCTCAGCACCCTCCCAGGGAAGAGCTTCTGCCTAAGAGCTCATCTCAGTCTCCCCTCGGGCAGGTTCAAGCCATTCCCCTTGGCCTGTCCCTCCATCCCTTGTCCCAAGCCCCTCTCCAGGTTTCCTGCAGCCCCTTCAGGCACTGGAGCTGCTCCCAGGTCGCCCCTTCTCTTGTCCAGGCTGCCCCAGCCCAGCTCTCTCAGCCTGGCTCCAGAGCAGAGCTGCTCCAGCCCTCGCAGCATCCCCATGGCCTCCTCTGGCCTTGCTCCAGCAGCTCCATCAATGCATGAACTCACCTCAGGACTTGCTCATCCCCCTCATGGCCGGCACTGCCCGAGACAGAGGCTCAAGAACTGCTCTGACCACACAAAACAGGGCGGGAGGAGGGAAGCAGTCCCAATGGGACTGAGATTCCTGGTGGATTCAGGTGTGCTGACAACCTAAGGTGTCCGTTCCACTGCCGCGAGCTCCCAACGTGGTCTTTGGTGAGCAACACCCGAGCTTGTGAAACCTGGAGACGCCGCTGTTGGAGGCGTCAGGAGTTTGCCAAGGAAGCACAAAATTCTGCCTTCTCTCACCAAGAAAGTAGGAAGAGGGGGGGAATGAACACAGAAAACCTTTCAGCTGTGAAAGGCAGAGTGGTGCCATGGGCACATAGACTCGCACTGAAGCAGCACTGCAGCAATATTCACCGGTAAATCCTGTATCTTCTGGCAAAAGCAACCAAAACCCACGCTATAAAGTAAATGGCTCCATCCTACACACACGTTCCTTGAATTATTCAGGGCTGAGCACTCTCCACAGGCTGTTGTGTGGCTTCCAGCTGCCCCAGACTCTGCTTTCCCACCAGCCCCATCCTGAGGCCGTGGTTTTCCCAGGCCCCGCTTCTTTCTGTGATGGATATCGACCGTTTGACCACTTTTTCCTTTGCAAAACTAACGTGAGAGTGCTTTGCTGCAAAGGTTTGTCCGTCCGGGGCTGGAGCTGCTTCTCCAGGTACATCCCAGGGCATTGTGCTGCTCCTGTGTCCCCCACCAATTCATGTAACAGCTCATCCCCTCCCTACCTGGAGCAGAGCTTACGTCCCCACTGTCAGTTTGAGCCCATCACCCCTACAGTCCCTGACGAAGGGCTCCCCTCCAGCATCCCTGGAGCCCCCTTCCTGCAGGAGCAGGCGGGGAAACGCGGGGAGGAACGAGGCACCGCTCCCGTGCCTGCACTTACCAGCCATGGCCACGCGGTGGCAGCAGCGCCCCGGGCAGGGCGCAGCGGTGCCGCGGCCGGAGCCGCCCCAAGCCGCTCGCTCATCGCCGCTGCTCCCCAAAGGGCTTTTCACCGTCTCCTGGGGAGCACTCCACCGGATCAGCCCTGGGGCCTGCCAGGGCGGCAAGCATTAGTCAGGCTTCAGACGCTGGTTCAGCATCACTGCCTTCCGCTCGAGGCTTTTCTTCCCTCTCCTTCACCCCGCAGTCAAGCCTTACGTTTTCTCTCTCCCAGCGTACTCAGCAGGTTTCCCAGGCACTTGTAGCTGCTTCTGACCAATGGCTTCCAAATGAGGGGGGAAACACAAAGTAGAAACGTTTCTCTTTATTTTCCCCACCACTTCGTACACTCGCTCACAAACTGAACTGCAAAGTCCTGTAGTGGCCAAGGGCATCCCCAGAGCTGGGCTCCCAGCCAGCTCCTGCCTTCACTGGGGCAACAGCACCCATGAACCTCTGCTCCAAACCAGTTCGTGACACAAAGGTGGTTCAGGGACACAGCCCCAACAATCGGAGCTGAGAAACATAGAATCACAGAACCATAGAATGGTTTGGGTTGGAAAGGACCTTAAGATCATCCAGTTCCAACCCCCTGCCATGGGCAGGGACACCTCACACTAAACCATGGCACCCAAGGCTCTGTCCAACCTGGCCTTGAACACTGCCAGGGATGGAGCATTCACAACCTCCCTGGGCAACCCATTCCAGTGCCTCAGCACCCTCACAGGAAAGAATTTCCTCCTTAGATCCAACCTAAACTTCCCCTGTTTCAGTTTTAACCCATTACCCCTTGTCCTGTCACCACAGTGACTTGCAGACTCCTTGATTACAGATAGGAAAACAACTTAGATGGAAAGCTGAGAGATCCTGATTGACAGCATCCTGGCAACAACACTTCCAGGAGTGCTGCTATAAAAGCACTGCAGTGCTACATAGAATACTACATAGAATATCATAGAATAGTCAAGGTTGGAAAGGACCTTAAAATCACCCACTTCCAACCCCTTGCCATGGGCAGGGACACCTCACACTAAACCATGGCACTCAAGGCTCTGTCCAACCTGGCCTTGAACACTGCCAGGGATGGAGCATTCACAACCTCCCTGGGCAACCCATTCCAGTGCCTCAGCACCCTCACAGGAAAGAATTTCCTCCTTAGATCCAATCTAAACTTCCCCTGTTTCAGTTTGAACCCGTTACCCTTGTCCTGTCACTGCAGTCCCTAATGAAGAGTCCCTCCCCAGCATCCCTATAGCCCCCCTTCAGATACTGGAAGCTGCTCTGAGGTCTCCCCGCAGCCTTCTCTTCTCCAGGCTGAACAGCCCCAACTTTAACATCTGGACCACCTCTCCTGAAGGGTCTTTCTGCTTTCACATCCTTCTGTGCACAGGGGAAGGCAACACCTGTTAAACTCTTCTCCTGCAAATGACAAAGTAAACCCCAAGATGCTGGGAACTGAAAAGAGCAAATGAATGTTTTATCACCATCCTAAACCTGGGATGTTGGCGTGCAGTGAGCTCTGGGCACCCAGAAGAGGAGCTCCTGTCAGAAAGCATCAGTCAGGAGGGATGCAGGTGGGCACCACCACAAAATCACATCCCTGCACCCAGCTGGGGTTACTGGGGCAGGGGCTGACACCAGCTCACCCGGTGCAGTCACCACGGCCCAAAGTGGTTGGGGTCTATGGGGCCAATGCGATGCCACAATGGATTAGGATGGGAACCCATCATGGGTGCAGCAGCAGAGCAGGGCGATACCTGCACTGATTCCGGCTGCTTACAAAGGGGTTGTGGTTGCAACGGATGCACCACAGCTCCACACTTCATGACTAAGCTGATTTTCCACCAGTAAAGTGGAAGGTACAACATCTCCCTCCCTGATCTGGGGTTTCCAAGCTCTGTCCTCAGCACCAGTGCCCCAAGAGCAGTGACTGCTGAGGCAGAGCATTGAGGGGGGGCTGCTTGGGAAGGAAAGCACCAAAAGAGGAACCCCATTGGTCTGATTGCTGCCCTAGTGCAAGGAGATCAATCTTGCCAAGGCAAAGCCAGATTCCTCCTAAACAGAGGGAAACACACTGTCTGCTCCAGGGTGGGCTCTGCTCCCAAGGAACAAGGGATGGGACAGGAGGAAACGGCCTCAAGCTGCACCAGGGCAGGTTTAGATGGAGCTGAGGAACAATTCCTGCCCCAGAGGGTGCTCAGGCATTGGAACAGGCTGCCCAGGGCAGGGCTGCAGGCACCGGCCCTGCAAGTGTTCACACCCCATGGAGGCCTCAGTGCCATGGGTTAGGGGTGGCCTTGGCACTGCTGAGGAACGGTTGGACTGGATGAGCTTGAAGGGCTTTTCCAATTGAGTTGATTCTACGACCTATGAAGCACCGTGAGAGATGCTGCAGGGTTCAATACCTGGACACAGCCTCCCTGCAGGCACAAACTCACCTTCCCCGCTGCCCCACAAAGCCCACGAGCTCTGGGGACCACTGCCCGGTGCCCACATTCACCCCTTGGCCCATGTGAGAGGTGCTGAGTCCCCCAGCCTGGCGCTGCAGAGCCGCAGGAGGAAGCAGCAGCGCGCGGGTGTCCCACGCCTCACCCCATCCTGCCTCACCCGGCAGCGCCCATGGGGCAAAGGTCTCTGCCGGGACACGGGGAAAGCAGGATGGATGCGGCCAGACTCCGCTCCATCCCTGGGCGCACAGGGGTAGGTGTGCACACAGGGCAGGCACACACCCGGGATAAAGGCAGTTTCCCCGTCCCGGCCGGCCCTGCAGGTCTCCTTTGGGATGCTCAAGGTCTGCCCGCTCCTTCCCCTGCTCCGTTTCCTTACCCACAGCACGACCCTGGCAAACAACTTCCTTTATTCCCGTTCTAAACTCACAGGTCTGGTTCAGACCTGGCCAAGGCACTTGGCAAAGCCACAGCGGTGCCGGCTCCACCGGGAACACCACTCGGGAAGCGCTGCCCTTCCCCATGGAGTCGCAGCCGGATTCCCTCCAGGACTGCCCGTATCTAAGAGGAACCCGCAGCAACAGCGAGTCCTGCCAGCCCCGGCTTACCACAGCACCTTTCCCTCACCCTGTGTAAACAGCCCTGCCCTGCTCCAGGCCACAGACGGCTCCACGTGGACCAAGCCTCTGCGCACAAAGCCCCCAGCGGCTGCCCCAGCATCCCAGCGCGACCGCCGTCAGGAAAGCAGAGGCTGCAGCAGGGGTCCTCCAGCACCTCCCACCTACCGGCAGTGACAGGGTGCGGAGCAGCAGCAGGGCTCTGGGGAGCGGAGCGGTCAGAGCACGCTTTGATGCTTCCCTCCCCAGCGGGAGCAGATTCCGGGTCTCAAGGGCCATAAAACGCTTCCAGATGTTCCGGTCATCAATGACACCAAACCCTGACGCCCCCCATAGAGCGGTTACCCGTGGGGACAAAGAGCACAGGACTTCCAGCACGGGCTTTGCCGGCCGCGGAGGTGCGGGGAAGGAACCCTCGCTCTCTGCTCAGCCCTTCCAGGAAGCCGCGTTTCCTCCGAGGTTCACACAAGGGTTCTGGGGCCACAAAAGGAAACCAAAGCGGTGCGGAGCAAACCGGGCACGGCCCAGGGCAGGAGGCAGGGAGCTGCACTCAGGTGGAAGAGCCTCGGCGCAGCGTCCTCCCTTACCTGGAGCCCAGGCTCTGCCCCTTGCCCCGTCAAACTCCCCCTGGCCCCATCCCATCGGCTCCCGAGGCGGGCGCTGCTCCCCCCATCCTCTCACCCCCCCGTTCCCCGTGGCCCGGCCGCCCCCAGGCTCCGCTTCGGCGCTGCTCGGGCTCGGGCAGCTCCGCTCCGCACCTCCTCCTCCTCCTCCTCCTCCTCCTCCTCCTCCTCCTCCTGCTCCCGCCCGGGGCCGGGCAGCGGCAGCCGCACGCGGAAGCCGAATCCCTGCGGGCTCCAGGGGAGAGCCGGGGCAGGGAGCGGCGGCTCCGCGGGACCCTGCGGCGCTCCCCGGGGCGAGGAGGGAGGCTCCGCTCGGCTCCGCTCCGTTCCGCTCGGCTCCGCTCGGCTCCGCTCGGCTCCGCTCCGTTCCGCTCGGCTCCGCCGGGCTCGGCTCGGCTCCGCCATGCAGGTAGGACGCGGGACCCGCTCCCGGGGGGGTTTGCAGCCCCCGGAGCCAGCCGCAGCCCGGGCACACGGGGCACAGCGAGCTCGGGCGCTGCCGCTTTCAGCCTTCGGAGCGCTCTGAGCCCTGCAGAGCCCCCGATCCCCTTCCCGGGGAGCGACCTCATCCCCCCCCCCCCCGTGACAGGGGCACGGGTGTGCGGGGCCGGCTCTGCCACCCCCGCTGCACGGGGACCAAGCGCCACACAGCAGCCGAGGTGCCGCGGGGTCACCCATGGCCCCACGTGTTGGCACCAGAGCACAGGGGTGCCAGAGGATGGTCTGGACCGAGACCGGGTCTTCAGCTCGTATAAAACCAGGAAGAGGCACTTAGAGCTGCGAGGTGACGGCCCCAGAGGCTTCAGGAGCACCTCAAAAGGGGAGAGGGGAGATGAGGCTTGTTTCTTTGGCTAGAAAAGACAAGGTGTGGGTTTCTCCCACCCAGAAAGGCAGGGAGACTCAAGGGTGCGTCTCGTGAATGCCCGCGTGTGTCAGTGACCTGCTCCATGAGACTGACAGGCTCCTTGGGAAACGATGAGGTAAAGCTGGAAGTGCTCTGAGCCATCACAGTGCGCATCCTGAGACAGGAGGGATTTGATCATCCCGGTGTGGGAGACGGGAACCACCCAAACCCTCCCTGGGCCCCGGTTAGGAAATAAAACAAGGACAGGAGATGCCACCCAGGTGCATCGCCTCAGTTACTCACTCAGGTGAGTGCATTCCAGCCCAGGAGTGCCTGCTCCCCTTTCCCTGGATCCGATAACCCCACACAGGGCAGGGGGTACCTGGTCTGTACCATAGGGACCAGGACCCCCTGACAGAGCAGCAGAGAAACCTGCTCCGGGGCAGGGAAACCCTCTTTAACACTGAAATCCCTGCTTCTCCTTGTGCCGGCTGCTTCTCCCGCACCTTTGCACAGCGCAATTCCAGCCCCAGGGCAGGAAAGAGGGAAAGGCCCCGTCCTCAGTGATAACAGGGATTAGAGTCCAGGCTTTATCCAGCAGCCCCAAGCAGGGTGGCCCTGCCTGCACATGGGACCGACCCGCCTGCCCTGCGCTGTGGAGTGAAGCCATCACCGGCAGGGTCCTGGTCCCTGGGATGGGAAGTGAATGGATGCGGGAGAATGAGGGACCCCGACCCCTGCTGCAGGATTCAGCTGCCTCCAAGCCACGTCCAGCCCCAGGGCAGGCCGGGCTCCTGCACAAGCAGCCACGGCTCAAAGCTGCCTTTGCCCTGTGATGGATCCAACCTGCTGCGATGCTGCTCTCCCATCACCAGGGTGTGCACATCCCACCCTGCACTGATGCAGGTTTAGCGGTTACCCCACAGAGCTGGGCACCGGGGTGGCCTGTGCTAAACAACCCACAGATTCCTGCCCAGTTCCAGCCCTGTGCACCAGGCACTAAATCCCATCACTGTGGGAGCACAGAGGGATGCCAGGTCCTGCTAACCTGACATCCTTAACACCTACACATGTGTACATGGGTGGCCCGAGCAGCATCCCAGTGCTGGGGAGGGACTCTTCGTTAGGGGTTGCAGTGACAGGACAAGGGGTAACGGGTTCAAACTGAAACAGGGGAAGTTTAGATTGGATCTAAGGAGGAAATTCTTTCCTGTGAGGGTGCTGAGGCACTGGGATGGGTTGCCCAGGGAGGTTGTGAATGCTCCATCCCTGGCAGTGTTTAAGGCCAGGTTGGACAGAGCCTTGGGTGCCATGGTTTAGTGTGAGGTGTCCCTGCCCATGGCAGGGGGGGTGGAACTGGATGATCTTAAGGTCCTTTCCAACCCAAACCGTTCCTTGATTCTATGATTCTTGGGGTTTGACTGGAAAATCAGAGTGCACCAAGTCCCTGATGGGATTAGAAATCAGGGATTGCTACTGCAGGCAGGTGGGGAAGCAGGGCAGGAGCTGGCTGCATCAGGTCAGGGACCAGCAGGTTATGACTGGGAGCGCTGATGGAGGAGGATGCTCTGGGGATGCTCTGCAGGCTCAGCCCCAGTGCCCTCAGGGAAGGTCCCGAGGCACAAGCAGGGGCTGGCAGCTCCATCAGGGATAAGGTTCCAATAGCCCAGCCTGGCTGCACAAAGCCCCGTGGCTGGATACATCCCATTGTGAGCCTACCTTGGCAATCCCATCCGCAGCTCCCCAGGAAAGGGATGCACTGGTCAGGATGCTTCAGCTCCGGAGCAGGGAACCGTGCTGTAGGTGGTGGAGCTGGGGGTCACCTGAAAGAGAAGCTGATACCAGCAGGTCCATGCACCCCATCTTGAGCTGCTGGGGTCAGCAGCAGCAGGGCAGAGGTGCCGAGGGGCATTAGAACACCTTAAAACCCTTGCTCCCAAAGGGTGGGTTCCCCTCCGCATCCGCAGCCCCAGGCAGGGAATCCCGTCAGGATGAGGCTGACAGGGACCAGCCGAGCAGCAATGGGATAGATCAGCACCAGCATCAGAGCCGCAGCAATGGGGCAGAGCCCAGTGAGGCTCCCATCTGCTGCACTGGGCCCAGAGAGCGGCTCTGAGCCAGGGACATGGAGCTGCTGCACCCACCACGGGTTTACCCCCCCGGGGAGACCAACCCAGGCCAAAGCCCAATTACCCCAACCCCCAAACCTGCTTAGGGCTTTGGCAGGGCAGAGGATGCGCTTTAACCCCCCACCGCCCCCATCCTGCCCCAAATCGGGTGCCTTCAGCAGTGAGGAGCTCTGGTTCCTGTTGAACAGCCCCTGCGGGAGAGCAGCCCCCTTCCCACCTCGTCTCCGCTGTCTCCTTGCGGCTCTGCTGCTCTGGGTGACGCCTGGTCCCAGATCCTCGTGTGTGGGCGCGCTTCATCTCTCCCCTCATCCCGGGCTCTGCTGCTCCCACGGCCCCGTTCCCCAGCGAACGCTCTGGAGCCAGATCTTACATCAGGGCAGGGTTGCACCAGAGCTTGCAGCCGGATGAACTCGTCTGCCAGGCCCCGGTTCAGGGCACGGTGTCCTCGGTGGCCGCACTGGTACTGATGGTAGCCCCTTCCCCTGGCAGCCCCGTGCCCTCGGGAGCAGCAGCGCATCTGTGCGGCCACAGCGGATCGCAAACCCGCTCCCAAAACGCTGGGTTTAAGGCAGGATCCATTGCCCCGTTCCCAGCACCATCCACGGAGCGTGTCCTTACCAAACCCACCGCAGTCACTGGGACCTGGAGCCTGACACACTCCTGCACGTCCCCTCTTGCCCAAGAGGGAGCTGTGGCTGCAGAACCAGGCAGGATGAGATCACACCAGGGGAGCCAGGCACCGAGGACAGGGACAAAGGGGTCTGAAGCTGATGTGCCCCAGCTCTGGGTGCCCACCGGCCCCGGGCCACCCAGGGGTGCTCAGTGCAGCATCCCTCAGCAGAGGGACAGGGAATCACAGCGGGCACTTTGCTCTGTGCCCCCCCCAGAGCCGCCCCACTGGGGTGCCTGAGCCTGGAGCAGGGAGGGGGAGCATCCGTGTTCACCCCTTTCTCTGGGGCCAGTAGCCCACAGGAGAGACCAAGCACCAGCAGCTCACCCTCCCCGCTGCCCCTTGGCCACAGGCAGAGGCATCCATGGCATTTCCCAAGGATTGGGAACATCATCACAACATAAAACTCCCTTTCCCACTCACCCCAGCAGTGCCCTGGCTGACAGGAGCACCCCAGTAAAGGACTGTGCAAGCCACTGCAGCAGGGACAGAGGGGCCAAGCGCTGACTCTCTTCAGGTACAAACACTGGGGCATTGGGTGAAACAAGGAGCGAAGTCCAGAGCAGAGGGAGGGTTTCTCCCCTGCGGTTCCCTGACATCCCCAGCGTGAGCAGACATGGGACGTGAGGAGGCTGCGCACTCATCCAGCATCCCAATAGAGCTGGATGTGGCTCAGGAACACCCCACACTGGAGACAGGAGCGTATGGAGAAGGCTCCAGACAAGCCTGCTCTCACCCTCTCCGTGGGCATGGGCAGGGAAGCAGCCGGGGGGCCTCCAGCTGACGCTGGGATGCAGCTTCAGCTGCACGGGCTCTCTTCTGATGCACCACAGCCTGGTCCCGATGCCCGCAGCAGGCTCTGCTCTGGGCATCCCGGTGTCACGCACGCATCCGCAGGGAGAGGTTTGCTCCGTGCCCGGCCACGGAGCCTGCTGAGACCTCCGGGGTTTTCTCTTGCCAGGATGAGATCCTGCTGACCCCCTGGAGGGATTTTCCTGTGGAAGATGTGGAATCTGCCCCCTCCCTGGTGAGTTCTGCTCCCTCCGCACCCAGAGAGCTCAGCACAGCCCAGAGGGGCAGCGCCAAGGCAGCAGCTGCCTCCGTTTCCCCATCAGAGGGGCCTCACACACAGTCATGATCCAGCCCCAAACCCCGGAGAGCCTGGAGCAGGGAGCGCTGTCCCCTTGCCATGCCATTGATTCCCTGCTGGTCTCTATGGGCAGGAGGAAGAGAAGTGGGATTTTGTCCTGGTGAGCGACATCCATGAAGTGGGCAGCGAGAGGGAGATCAAGAGGAAGAAGTTCCTGGATGAGCTGAGCAAGAAGGGGTTCACCATCAAGGTGAGGAACAGGCACTTGGCTCTGTCACAGTACCCAGGATCCAGGCCTGGCTTGGGATCCTGAATCCCAGGACATGGGAGAGACCTGAAACATTGAGCCCATCACTGCTGGGAAATGAACTGCTTGCCCAAGGGGGCCTTGCAGCTCTGCCCCATCCCTGCTCTGCCACATCCCTGCTCTGCCCCATTCTCTGCTCTGCCCCATCCCTGCTCTGCCCCATCCCTGCTCTGCCCCATCCCTGCTCTGCCCCATCCCCTGCTCTGCCCCATCCCTGCTCTGCCCCATCCCTGCTCTGCCCCATCCCTGCTCTGCCCCATTCCCTGCTCTGCCCCATTCCCTGCTCTGCCCCATTCCCTGCTCTGCCCCACCCCTGTTCTGCCCCATTCTCTGCTCTGCCCCATTCCCTCCTCTGCCCCATCCCTGCTCTGCCCCATCCCTGCTCTGCCCCATCCCTGCAGTTTCCCCCCATCCCTTCTCTCCCTGCCATTAGAAAATCGAGGACCAGAAGCTCTTCTATGGGGTCCGTGCCCCGAAGCTCCTCTTCCGGCAGTACCAGTGGCTCCTGAGGAACCCCGACAGCCGGCAGCAGAGCCCCGACGGCCACCACGATGTAGCGGTGACCACGAGGTGGGTGCTGAGCTGGACGCTCACCGCCAGCACCCTGTGCTTCCCTCTCCCCACGCCAGCATCCCCCTTGCAGCAGGGCCTGGCTTTCCGTGCTCCACAAAGCGCCCAACAGCCGGATTCCCATTGTTTCCCCGCTTCCTTCCCTGGATTTTGGTGCCCACCTTCTCCCTTCCCTCCCTGGTTCTCCAGGGCCCCACAACACACGCACTACAAGTAGTGCACACGTGCCCGTATCCCCAGAGCAGCCTTTATCCACGCTCTCTCCCTGCTCAGGATACGGATCGTGAACTTCATCCTGCAGAACACGGTGACGCCCGAGCTCGGTAAGGGAATGGGGCTGGAGGGATCTGCACAAGGCTCCTGCCCCATGGTGGGCACAGGCACCCTGGGGGCATGCAGAGGGGGGACAAAGCCGGGGCGCAGCTCAGACACAGAACTTGTGCTGCATCTGGAGGCTGGGACACCGGGAGTGCAGGACCCAGCTGCAGCCCCTACTCCCTCTCCCCAAGCCCATTGCTGCTCCTGGTGTCCCCAGAGGAGCTGGTCCCTCCCTGGCACCCCAGGATGAGCACTCAGGGCGCTGGCTCTGAGCATCCACCCCAGTCCAAGCAGGCTCTGAGCATCCACCCCAGTCCAAGCAGGCTCTGAGCATCCACCCCAGTCCAAGCAGGCTCTGAGCATCCACCCCAGTACAAGCAGGCTCTCGGGCGCTGGCTCTGAGCATCCATCCCAGTCCAAGCAGGCTCTGAGCATCCACCCCAGTACAAGCAGGCTCTGAGCATCCACCCCAGTACAAGCAGGCTCTGAGCATCCACCCCAGTACAAGCAGGCTCTGAGCATCCACCCCAGTACAAGCAGGCTCTGAGCATCCACCCCAGTACAAGCAGGCTCTGAGCATCCACCCCAGTAAAGCAGGCTCTGAGCATCCATCCCAGTACAAGCAGGCTCTGAGCATCCACCCCAGTCCAAGCAGGCTCTGAGCATCCACCCCAGTCCAAGCAGGCTCTGAGCATCCATCCCAGTACAAGCAGGCTCTGAGCATCCACCCCAGTACAAGCAGGCTCTGAGCATCCATCCCAGTACAAGCAGGCTTTGAGCATCCACCCCAGTACAAGCAGGCTCTGAGCATCCACCCCAGTCCAAGCAGGCTCTGAGCATCCACCCCAGTCCAAGCAGGCTCTGAGCATCCACCCCAGTCCAAGCAGGCTCTGAGCATCCATCCCAGTACAAGCAGGCTTTGAGCATCCACCCCAGTCCAAGCAGGCTCTGAGCATCCATCCCAGTACAAGCAGGCTCTGAGCATTCACCCCAGTACAAGCAGGCTTTGAGCATCCACCCCAGTCCAAGCAGGCTCTGAGCATCCACCTCAGTACAAGCAGGCTCTGAGCATCCATCCCAGTACAAGCAGGCTCTGAGCATCCACCCAGTACAAGCAGGCTTTGAGCATCCATCCCAGTACAAGCAGGCTTTGAGCATCCACCCCAGTACAAGCAGGCTCTGAGCATCCATCCCAGTACAAGCAGGCTTTGAGCATCCACCCCAGTACAAGCAGGCTTTGAGCATCCACCCCAGTCCAAGCAGGCTCTGAGCATCCACCCCAGTACAAGCAGGCTCTGAGCATCCATCCCAGTACAAGCAGGCTCTGAGCATCCACCCAGTACAAGCAGGCTCTGAGCATCCACCCCTAGTCCAAGCAGGCTCTCGGGGCGCTGGCTCTGAGCATCCACCCCAGTCCAAGCAGGCTCTCGGGGCGCTGGCTCTCTGGCTCTGAGCCCTCCTGGCTCGCTCCCAGCCCAGCGCCGCCCGTGGCGCAGCAGCACACCCGCAGGGATTAGCGCTGATCCCGCTGATCCCAGCCTCCCCCAGGCTTCCGTCTGCTGCCCTCCGAGGCGCGGGGTGCTCCTGCCTGGCAGGGCAGAGCAGAGCCCCACTGACCCCCCCTCTGCCTCCAGAGAAGCTGCAGGACCTGATCAAGAAGAAGGTTTTTGAGGCCGCGTTTCCCCTGCACGAGGTGAGGCCGAGCACACGGCGATGGGGCACGGGCACGGGAGGTGCAGGAGCAAGAACCGGGGAGCCGTTGGGTCATGTGGATGAGGGCACAGCAGAGCTCCCAGCGGCAGCCTGGGCATCACAGAGCCATGAATCAGCCAGGCTGGAAAAGCCCTTCCAGCTCATCCAGCCCAACCATTACCCAGCCCTGCCAAGGCCACCACTGCCCCATGGCACCGAGGCCTCGTCTCCACGCTGTGTGAGCACCTGCAGAGCCGGTGCCTGCAGCCCTGCCCTGGGCAGCCTGTTCCAATGCCTGAGCACCCTCTGGGGCAGGAATTGTTCCTCAGCTCCATGTGAACCTGCCCTGGTGCAGCTTGAGGCCATTTCGTCCCATCCCTTGCCCGGGTATCGAGGCTCTCCGGATGTTCCTGTGTCCGACCGAGTTCTCTGCTCCGCAGAAAGGAGAGCTGAGCGAATTCCTGAAGGAGAAATGGGCTCGCTGGAGAGTTATCTTCTGCCGCCAGCCCATCGAGAAGATCAGGTAACGCAGCACGAGAGGCCCAGGACGTCCCTCAGCGAAGGTCCCACCTGAAACCCGGGAGCTTTATGCCCTTTATGCTCCTGTTTCCATCATTACCTTGAGCCTGGCTCCCCCCTCAAGCACTGGGCTCCCTCTGAAGCCTGAGAGCTCTTTGCCAGGGGCCCTCGCTATGGCACCAGCTCCATTTGCTCATCCTGCAGCATCCAAGAGCCCCGCAGACACAAGGGTTTAATGGGCCCCTGGGTTTCCAACCGCAATCAAAGGGAAGGTGAGGCGGGAGCAGAGCATCAGAGGCTGAGCCTGGGGCCACGTTAGCACTGCGGGAAGAGCACGGCGCTTGGCTCAAGGGGGAGGAAGGAGCAGCCGTGCTCGGGAAGGAGGGCAGAGGCACACGCACATCCCTGCGGTGTCAGGGGGCTGGGCAAGGCAGGGGAAGGGCTCAGCACCGCCCCTGAGCGCTGCTGGGCAGTGAATTCCCTGGACCAGAGGAGGGCAGGCCGAGCCATCGGTAGTTGCCATCCTCACCCATCCCAACCCGCACCGGAGCTAAGGGGATGCTGCCTCCAGGAGGCAGGGAAAGCATCGCAGGGGGGACTGAGCCACCACAGCCCGCACCCCCCGCAAGCCTGGCATACCCAGAACTGTTCTGCAGGCACCGGTTGCAGCTTGGGCCCTCACCATCCCCACCTCCCTGACCTGGCGCACACCGGTCCCACAGGCTCTCCCCTTCCCTCCTTCATGGAAAGGCAGGAGCAGCACCCATGGACCATACCCCCTTCCTATCAGTGACAGCAGCTCCCCTGTGCACATTAACGGGGGGGGAAGAAAGCAAAAGGGAAAGAAAAGGCCACCAGGAGACCCCCAGCTCTTTTTCTTGCTGAAATCGCCTGGGAATGCTGCATAGAACCATAGAATAGTTACGATTGGAAAGGACCTTAAGAGCATTCAGTTCCAATCCCCCTGCATCCTGAAGCTCCTCTCCAGCCAGGCTGACTCTCCCCATCCCAAGCCCCAGGCACAGGCATCACCACACCTGGACCCTCACCCTTGGGGCTGTGAGCATCCCGTGGGGCCGTGAGCATCCCCTGGGGCCCAGCATCCCATGGGGCCATGAGCACCCCACGGGGCATCCCATGGGGCTGTGAGCATCCCACGGGGCCGTGAGCATCCCCTGGGGCTTTGAGCATCCCGTGGAGGACCCCACGGGGCCGTGAGCATCCCGCGGTGCCCGCTGTCCCCCCCAGGTGGTACTTCGGGGAGAAGGCAGCGCTGTACTTCGCCTGGCTGGGCTGGTACACGTTCCTGCTGGGCATCGCCGCCGCCGCCGGGCTCCTGGTGTTCGTGGCGGGGATCACGGTGTTCAACTCCAGCCAGGTGAGGTAAGGCCTCGGGAACGCCGGGCGCACCCCGCGGGGCTCGGGGCCGGGCCGCCCCCTTTGCTCCCCTCTGCCCCTTCCTCTCCTTGCAGCAAGGAGATCTGCGAGGCCACGGGCACCATCATGTGCCCGCTCTGCGACCAGCAGTGCCCCTTCTGGCGCCTCTCCGACACCTGCACCTATGCCAGGGTACGCAGCCCCTTCCTTCCCGAGGCAGGCTGCCCCTTCCCTTCCATTTCTCCTTTCCCTTTTTCCTTTCCTTTCCCCTCCTTTCCCTTCTCTTTCCCCTTTCCCTCCCCGAGGCAGGCTCATGGCACAGGATGGGAAACGCTCCCAGCTCGTGCTGCCCCAAACCACCGGGAACTAAACCCACCCCAAAAAAACAACTACAGCACACAGGAAAACCCCACTGGGCCCTGTACTGAGGAGGAGGAGCACGGAGATCACGGTCTCCATCGCCAACAAAGTCCCACCGTCCACCCCCTTCCTGCAGGTCACCCTCCTGCAGCATCTCTGCCTGCCTCGAGGGGATCGGGGTGCCGAGAGCCCCTCCCAGCTCCGAGGTGCCCCTGCAGCCATCACCATGTTCCTCGTCCCCCCCAGGTCACCCACATGATCGACAACGAGGGGACAGTCCTGTTTGCCATGTTCATGGCCATCTGGGGTAGGTGCCTGCGGCTTGGTGCCAAGCGCGCACAGCAGGAAAGAAGGGGCAGCCTCATGTCGCTTGGTGGGGGGAATAGGGGACTCCAATGCAGCTTCACCACGCAGCAGCTTTCACATCCACCTCCAGGGCCGGGCCCTCCCCGGCAAGGCAAAGGCAAGGCAAAGGCAAGGCAAAGGCAAGGCAAAGGCAAGGCCAAGGCCAAGGCCAAGGCAAAGGCAAAGGCAAAGGCAAGGCAAAGAATCACCCCTTCAGCACCCCCTACCTCAAAACTCTGCCCCCTTCATTCACCACAGCCCCCTCATGGCTTTTATAAGGCTCTGTGAGTGGGTGTTATGGGGCAGCTGCCCGGGATGGGGGGCAGCTGCAGGGAGGAGGGGCCAGCAGACCCTCATCAGCCTCCCCAGGCTGCTCCATTGCCTCTCAGCTGCGCTGGAACGAGCCCAGCAGATCCCTGTGCTCTGAGCTGACGTGGTCCCATCACCCCATAGAACCAGAGAGCGGTTGAGGCTGGAAGGGACCCTAGAGATCATCCATGACCCTACCGGCTACCCATCTCGTTTGCCTTACCACGGCAGTTACAAGCAGCACTGCAGGTGTAGGCATTGGCTCTCCACCTGCACAGCCATGGTCTGAGCACCGTGGATGGGGTCTGTGCGCTGCTGTGGGGCGGTTGACACAGGGATGAGCTCCGGGAGGTTACTCCACAGGACAAGGGGGAGGAAAGGGGCTTACAGAGGCGCAGCTCGGGATGTGAAGCCTGAACACCATCGGCCTGTTCCACTCGAGGGGTATTGTCCACTAACTCAGACGTGTGTGCTTGGCACCATGCAAAGCGCTCACCGGGTTCATGCCCCGTGCTGCAGACACTGGGGCTGGTGACATCTCGCCCACCTCCATCCCCATCCCCACACGGTGCCGCGTGTCCAGGTCCCGTTGGGGGGTAACACGATGCCCACCCCGCAGAGGGGTGACTCCAGAGCCACCCCAGTGTCACCGCGCTCCCTCCTTGCCCCACAGCCACCGTGTTCCTGGAGCTGTGGAAGAGGCAGAGAGCCAGAGTGGTCACCGACTGGGACCTGTACCGCTGGGATGAGGAGGAGGTGAGGATGCGTCTCCCCTGCTTCCAGCAGGAGCTATGGCAGCTATGCTTCAGCTGGAGCCATGGAAAAGCCCCGTCACAGGGACCCCTTTGCCCAGCTCCATTCTCTGTAGATGGAACAGCTAACGGAGGCACAAACAGCAAAGCCCACATCTGGCAGCCCTGGAAGAGACAGAGCCCTGCAGAGGGCTGAGCACACAGCAGCCACCTCACCCGCACAAGGGCTTGAACTCATCCAGCTCTGGCCTCACTGCCTGGGCTGGGCATCCACTGCCCACCCCTGTCCTCTGGTGCTGCTCATCCCGCAGCCACCCCTGGACATCCCAGCACCCGGGCTCTGCTCTGCTGGCTCCATCCCCATGCTCTGTCCTGGCTTTGTGTTGCAGGAGGAGCTGGCCCTGGAGCTGATCAATAACCTGCAGCACGAGCCCCGGCAGTACCAGCACTCCTACTTCCGCAGCACCATCATCCTCCTCCTGGTTCTGGTGATGGTACGTGCCGGGGACACAGGAAGACCTGGCTTTAGGGCACGTGGGCTTTCCCCCTTCCCTCCCCACTCTGCTGCAAGAGCAGCACCTCACAGTGTCCTGTGGAGGGCCCTGGCACAGGGTGCCCAGAGAAGCTGTGGCTGCCCCATCCCTGGCAGTGCTCAAGGCCAGGTTGGACACAGGGGCTTGGAGCAAGCTGCTCCAGTGGAAGGGGTCCCTGGAGCTGGAGGAGCTTTAAGGTCTCTTCCAACCCAAACCATTCCATGATATAGGAACAATTTGAGGCCATGCCCAGATGAGCTCTGTGAAGGGGGAAACTAGGGTTGAAGGGCTGGTGGTGCTCAGGGGGCTGGTGATGCTCAGGGGCTGATGGAGCTCAGGCACTGGTGATGCTCAGGCATTGGTGGTGCTCAGGGGGCTGATGGAGCTCAGGGGGCTGATGGAGCTCAGGCCCTGGTGGTGCTCAGGGGGCTGGTGGAGCTCAGGGGGCTGATGGAACTGAGGGGGCTGATGGAGCTCAGGTCCTGATGGAGCTGAGGGGGCTGATGGAGCTCAGGTCCTGATGGAGCTGAGGGGGCTGATGGAGCTCAGGTCCTGATGGAGCTGAGGGGGCTGATGGAGCTCAGGTCCTGATGGAGCTGAGGGGGCTGATGGAGCTCAGGTCCTGATGGAGCTCAGGCACTGGTGATGCTCAGGCATTGGTGGTGCTCGGGGGGCTGGTGGAGCTCAGGTCCTGATGGAGCTGAGAGGGCTGGTAGAGCTCAGGGGGCTGATGGAGCTCAGGTCCTGATGGAGCTGAGGGGGCTGGTAGAGCTCAGGTCCTGATGGAGCTCAGGTCCTGATGGAGCCCAGGCCCCGGTGGAGCTCAGGCCCCGGTGGAGCTCGCTGGGCTGGGACACATTCTGCCTGCACAGATCGCGGTGCTGGTCGGCATCGCGCACGCCCTCGTCATCTACCGGGTGGTGGCAACAGCGCTGTTCACGCAGAGCAGCTCCGAGCTCCTGCGCGAGCAGGCCGACACGGTGGCCGTGATGACGGGGGCCGTGCTGCACTACATCACCATCGTGGTCATGAGCAAGGTGCGGAGCGCGGCGCGGGCAGGGCGCTGCTCCTGGCTCTTCCGCCACCGACCCGCTCGTGTCCCGCAGGTCAACAGGCGCGTGGCCCTCTTCCTCTGCGACCTGGGTAAGGCTCCACACGGCGTCCCTTGGGCCCGCGTGCAGCCACGCTCCTGCCCGCTTCCCTTCCTCCATCCCAAAGCACCCGCTGGGCACCCACGCGCGGCCAGCAGCCCCATGCGCTGCAGGCGGCTGTCCCACGGCCACATCGTGCTTTGGGGGCAGTCGCCCTATAGGGCCGAGAGCCAGCGGGAGCAGGAAGCCGCCGCTGCTGCAGGAGCGCTCCGTGTGCTGCCCTCCCTGCTGCAGGGCCCCTTCTCCCCCCGATGGAGCCGGGCTCAGCTCCACCGCAGGGCTCGGCTGAAGGGTGGGGAAGGCTCCACAAGGGGCAGGGACTCTCCCGACCCTCAAAGAGCCGCTGTGGCACCCAAGGGGCAGCCAGGACAAGGGCCCCCCACGCCGTGACCAAGTCCCTGCGCTCTGCTCCCTCACGCAGAGAAGCCCCGGACCTTCTCCCAGCGCGAGAACACCTTCACCGTGAAGATCTTCACCTTCCAGTTCTTCACCAACTTCTCCTCGCTCATCTACATCGCCTTCTTCCTGGGGCGGTGAGCGGGGCCTGGGACCCCATGGGGGACCTCAGAAGGGCCGGAGTGGGCATGGGGACGCGGGAAGCCCCTCATGTCTCTATCGGAGCCCGGGGGCGATGTCCCCATCATCGGTGCTGGGGCTCAGCAGACGTTGCTGTTCCTTCCCTGCCCAGGATCAACGGGCACCCAGGGAACTACGTGCGCATCGCCGGCAAGTGGAGGCTGGAGGAGGTGATGCTCTGGCCCTCACCGCAGCTCCCGCCCTCCCTGCCCCACTGCCCAGCGGGGCAATGGGGAGCTCAGCTCCTGCCCTGGCCGCAGCCCGCGGACACAGCCCCTCTCCTCTCCCCCTCGCAGTGCCACCCCAGCGGCTGCATCACCGACCTCTTCATCCAGATGGCCATCATCATGCTGCTCAAGCAGACCATCAGCAACGTGATGGAGTACCTCAACCCGTGAGCCCTCCTCCTGCTGCTGGTCCCTGGGAAGGGGCTCCCTCCTTCCCCGCGCAGCCCCGCTGAGCTGCAGGCAGCACAAAGCTCTCCCTCCCTCGCAGCTGGATACGCCACCAGCTACGCAGGAAGCGGCTGCGGCGCCCCAAGAAGAGGAGGATGATGTTAGGGGAGGAAGAGGAGGCCGAGGACCCCTGCAAGAGGCAGTGGCTGAGCAATTACGAGCTCAACGAGGTCAACATCTTCAGCCTGTTTGATGAGTTCCTGGAGATGGGTACGTGGAGCAGGGGGTCAAGGAGGAGGGATGCGGGTGCAGAACCACGTCTCCCCCTTGCCTGGAGAGAGCCTGATGAGGAGCCCCAGCGTAGACAAGGAGAGCTCTGAGACGAGCTCCATCAGCCCTGGCTCACCAAGATCATCCTCAAACAAGAGAGCAGGCAATGGCCTGGCCTTGGGCCCCTGCTCTCCTCCTGCAGTGCCAAGGGAGTGGCTGGGAGCCCAAGCTCAACCTGTGTTCTGTGGGACCCCCCCAGATCCCCCTCTCCAACAGCCCTGTGGGAGGTGGGGGTCCCCAGGACATGTCTATATCCCCCTTTCACCCCTGCAAAGCCCCCCTGGCACAAGGCAGGACAAACCCTATGGGATGTCTATGGTGTGGTGGCTGCACACCGGCACCCCGTTGCCCCTCGCAGTGATCCAGTACAGCTTCACCACCATCTTTGTGGCCGCCTTTCCCCTCGCCCCGCTGCTGGCCTTCTGCAACAACCTCTTTGAGATCCACCTGGATGCCATCAAGATGATGCGGCTGCACCGGCGCATGGTGCCCAGGAAGGCCAACGACATCGGTGAGGCAGGGCACAAGGAGCCCCCTCCTTCCTGCACCACTGCTGGTGCCAATGGTGCCAGTGGGAAGCCTTTTCCCCAGTGTGAGGCCCCTGAGCATCCCCTGGCCAGGGGCTGGCATCACTCAGAACCACAGAATCCCAGCCTGGTTTGGGTTGGAAGGGACCTTAAAGCTCCTCCAGCTCCAACCCCTGTCATGGGCAGGGACCCCTTCCACTGGAGCAGCTTGCTCCAAGCCCCTGTGTCCAACCTGGCCTTGAGCACTGCCAGGGATGGGGCAGCCACAGCTTCTCTGGGCACCCTGTGCCAGCGCCTCAGCACCCTCCCAGGGAAGAGCTTCTGCCTTATCTCCAACCTGAGCTTCCCCTGCTCCAGTCTGACCCCATCACCCCTTGTCCTGTCCCTACAGACCCTGAACAGTGGCTGTGAGCTGCCCCAGGGCCTCACTGACCGCTCCTCTCCCGCAGGAATCTGGCTGCTGGTCCTGGAGGCCATCGGCATCCTGGCTGTCATCGGGAATGGGCTGGTGATCGCCATCACCTCCGACTTCATCCCCGTGCTGGTCTACAAGTACACGTACAGCCCCTGCGTGACTGGGAACAGCACTGGCGTGGAGTGAGTGCTGCCCGTCAGCCCTGCCTGCAGCAGCCCTGCCCGCTGCAGCCCTCTTTGCAGCGCCCCTGCCTCCCTCAGTGCCACCAACACAGGGGTAGGAAGCAGTTGAGCCTTTCCCCACACCAGGATGCGGGGAAAGGGAGCAGGGGAGGGTTTCCCTGGTGGCACCTTCTTCAGCATCCCAGCCAGCTCACAGCACCCCTCTGGTGGGTAAACTGGAAAGAGCACCACGTAAGGACTGGGTGCCTGCATGCGCCCTCTCCAACCCTCTCCTCTGTCCTCCGAGCCCTTACTCACCGGCCAAGTCCATCAAACTGGACAGAAGCCCCAGGAACTTCCCCAGGCTTTGTGAAAGCGGGCAGCCAGGGGCGGGGGGGGAGCCCCAGATGGGTGCTGGCTCCCCCAGAACGGGAGGCTACAACCGGTGCTCAACCACAGTACCAGCCACCCGAGAACCCCCACGCCAGGGGACCCACAGAAAGGAGAGCTGCAGCCCGACAGGCTCTGCAGCAACCAGAGACTCCGGTGTGCTGGAGCAGACACGGGAGCTGCGGGCTGGGGGTCACCACAGCCCCTGGTGCAGCCACGGACCCGCAGCCACCGTGTCCCCCCGCAGCTGCTCCGCCGGTTACATCAACCACAGCCTGTCCACCTTCCGCGTCCAGGACTTCGAGTTCCACTCGAAGCTGCCCCAGCTGCCAGCAGGCTCTGTCACCAACATCACAGAGTGCAGGTAAGAGCAGCCCGCGGCCGCGGCCGTGGCCCAGCGGCATTGCCCAGCCCCTCGCTGGGACACCCGGCCTGGAGCCGGGGAGCAGGTGGTGGTGGGGAGGGCTGGGAGCCAGCCCCCCTCGGGTCCGTGGGGGAGCCGAGGCAGGGAGCAGGGCACAGGGGACCCCGTGCCAGCACCCGCGGGGCTGCGCTGCAGGTACCGGGACTACAGGAACGCCGAGGACTACGGCTACACGGTGCAGTTCTGGCACATCTTCGCCGCCCGGCTCGCCTTCCTCATCCTCTTCGAGGTGAGCACCCGGCGGGGAGGCTGGGGTGAAGGGGGAGGATGCTGACAGGGGAAGGGGGGGCCCGGGGAGCTCCTCACTGCCCCTTGCTCTGCGCAGCACGTGGCTCTGTGCGTGAAGCTCATTGCAGCCTGGTTCATCCCCGACGTGCCCCTGTCAGTCAAGAACACGTTCCTGGGCAGGAAGCACAGCGACCTCCGTAAGGAGCTCAGGTGGGTGATGCCCACGCTCCACACAGGGCCCAGCCTCCAGCAGGACCAGGTCCATGCGCTCCAGAGCCCCACAGCAGGGGGTCACTCACCATCAGAGGCACGGTGGGGCCGCTCCTGGCCCTGCGGCAGCTCCAGCACCCTTCTCAGGGTGGCTTTCCCCCCAGCTCCCAGCCCAGCCTCTGCTACAGCAGAACAGGCTCTTCTTAAGATGAGGTGCATTACTCATAGCTGAGAATCCGTCTCCCTCCGTGCCCGTGGCTTCACTCACTAGCTCAGTCGCCTGGTTTTAGGCACTCAAGGCCAGTGAAATGAGTCCCATGGCAAGTGTTCACCATTTAGTGCTCACCAGAGGAAGGGGCTGCTTCATTTGGGCTTTTCCTTTAGGAAAAGGAAAGCTCCGAGTTAAGACACAATTTTGCCCAAATTTTCCATTTGCACTTTAAAAAACCCCACGTGAAGTCTTTCAGCTGAAACAGAACTGATGCAGCCGAGAGCCACAGCCTGGGCTGCCCCGGTGCTGCTGCCCCCACGGGCTGAGCCCTGCTCATGGTCACCAGGTCCCTGCTACCACCACAAAGGCCTGGCACAAGCAGAGCTGTGTTCGGGGAGCACCACGCTGCCACTGTTCAGCCTTCAGTCCCTGGCTCGCCCGCTGCAGGGATTTCCCACAAGCAGGGCTTCTCTCTGCACTGTGTCACTCCTTTGGCAAACAGCCTGTTCCACAATCCCCATTGCTTCCCAGTCACTCGGTTCCCTTCCACCACAACTCTCTCCTTTCCCCCCAGCATGATGGAGTACTCCACCGAGGTGTAGCCTCTGCTCCCCGAGGAGCAGCACGGATTGAGGCCGTGCCGTGGGTGCAGAGGAACCACTGCAGCAGCACAATGGGCCACGTGTCCCGGCGGTGACCGGGCTTGGACGTGAGCTGGGAAGGGACAATGCGATGGTGGCTGAGCAGGAGCGGGAGGATTTCTGCCTCCACGAGCAGGAAGGCAGTCGTGGCAGAGCCAGGGAGCTGGCTGAGAAGCTGGGAGCATCCATGGGGCAGCATCCAGCGGCTGCAAGCGAGTGCTGTTGGGCTTCCTCATTGACACCGCCTCAGTGTGCGGCACAGGAAGGGCATTTACCTCGCTCCAGGTTCCCTCTGCAGCTCTTCTTTTGCACTTTGGACCCTGTTTTCTCTGCCTCCAGTGACCTCTGGCTCTTGCACCACCGAGACACTCGAGTCCTTCCTCCTTCACCATGGCCAGCACCATCCTCCTCTCAACACGGCCACCATGAGGCTGCAGCTCCAACCCCCTGCTTTCCTGGCTGCTGGAAAACCAGAGCTGTTCCCCTGACTGAGCTTTGCTCCGGGCTCAGCTGAGTCCCTGTGCCTGCCCCAAGCATCCCACAGCTGTTCCTGGCTCAACTACCACGACCAAAGCAGGAAATAAAGCTATCACCCCTGTGGAGACAGCAGCCAGGGCTTCGGCTGTGCTCACACTGGGGTCATCCCAGCCCCTCCTTTGCCACCCACAGAAACCACCCCCAAAACTGCTTCTGTCTTAAATGTGGATAATCAAAACATGCCGGAGCTGAGGCTCCCCAGGGCCACCCACAGCTGTGGGTGACTCCATAGTGTGGGTGCTGCCTGGTGAGAGGCTGAAGAGAAGTTGGTGCTGTGGCCACGCACAGTGGGAAACCGCTTGTTAAATGTGCTGGGGTGACAGAAACACTGAGCTGCACAGGCAGGGCTTTGGAGGGCTCTCCTGCTCCAAACCACGACCTGCCAGCCTGAACCCAACACTCCTCCACCTCCTCCCTGTCTGCAGCCCATCTCACAGGGGTTAGAGCCAGGCTGGACCCGTGGCACAGCAGCACTGCAGCCCATCTCACAGGGGTTAGAGCCAGCCTGGACCCGTGGCACAGCAGCACTGCAGCCCATCTCACAGGGGTTGGAGCCAGGCTGGACCCGTGGCACAGCAGCACTGCAGCCCATCTCACAGGGGTTGGAGCCAGGCTGGACCCGTGGCACAGCAGCACTGCAGCCCATCTCACAGGGGTTAGAGCCAGGCTGGACCCACGGCACAGCAGCACTGCAGCCCATCTCACAGGGGTTAGAGCCAGGCTGGACCCGTGGCACAGCAGCACTGCAGCCCATCTCACAGGGGATAGAGCCAGGCTGGACCCGTGGCACAGCAGCACTGCAGCCCATCTCACAGGGGTTAGAGCCAGCCTGGACCCGTGGCACAGCAGCACTGCAGCCCATCTCACAGGGGTTGGAGCCAGGCTGGACCCGTGGCACAGCAGCACTGCAGCCCATCTCACAGGGGTTGGAGCCAGGCTGGACCCGTGGCACAGCAGCACTGCAGCCCATCTCACAGGGGTTAGAGCCAGGCTGGACCCACGGCACAGCAGCACTGCAGCCCATCTCACAGGGGTTAGAGCCAGGCTGGACCCGTGGCACAGCAGCACTGCAGCCCATCTCACAGGGGATAGAGCCAGGCTGGACCCGTGGCACAGCAGCACTGCAGCCCATCTCACAGGGGTTGGAGCCAGCCTGGACCCATGGCACAGCAGCACTGCAGCCCATCTCACAGGGGTTAGAGCCAGGCTGGACCCACGGTACAGCAGCACTGCAGCCCATCTCACAGGGGTTAGAGCCAGGCTGGACCCGTGGCACAGCAGCACTGCAGCCCATCTCACAGGGGTTACAGCCAGGCTGGACCCATGGCACAGCAGCACTGCAGCCCATCTCACAGGGGTTAGAGCCAGGCTGGACCCGTGGCACAGCAGCACTGCAGCCCATCTCACAGGGGTTACAGCCAGGCTGGACCCGTGGCACAGCAGCACTGCAGCCCATCTCACAGGGGTTGGAGCCAGCCTGGACCCGTGGCACAGCAGCACTGCAGCCCATCTCACCCATGTGCATTCCCAGCCTCCAGCTTTGCTCTCTGCCAGGTCTGCCTTTAGCAACTCGCTTCCTGACTCCAGGCAGCTATTTGTGCTTAAGGAACAAAGTCTCTGCTCGTTGCTGCCCAGGATTGATAAAGAGCTGCCCAGGACCGATAACGTGCCCTCATATGTGACTTCACTCGTTGCGAGTGCAGGAACAGCCCTTTGATGCCCAGGAGGTTCCCCTCCCCTTAGGTCAGACCTGCACAGCCTCACCAAACTGGGTTTGCAAGCGTCCGGGGGAAAAGCTTTTCTCTTCAATGTCCCTAATTGCAGTTAAAGGGGAGGCAGCAGCATGGGCTGGGTGACCCCAGCTCCATTTCTAGCCTCCTTATGGTCCTTGTAAACTGGAGGACAAATCCACCAAAGCCTCTCAAAGCTTTAGTCAAGAACTGGAAACCGTAACTGGTTTGTCAGTTTAACCCCGAGCTCCACCCTTCCATCCCCTCCTCTAGAAAATGCCAAGAGGTGCCTCCTGTGCCAGAGGGGAATTCTGGGATAACCTGAACGAGATGTGGGTGCCACAGCGTGGTCGTGTGTGCGCCTGCACATGTAACAGCAGTGAGAGCCACCCGCGAGCTCAGGGAGACACAGATAAGCAAACATCAGCACCTCAGGTCAGGAACAAGTACTTCATTAGGGCTGATTTGTCTTGTCCTGGAATTAAGAGTCCTCAGCCGCCCCGAGAGAGGAGCAGGATCGTGACTCAGGGTCTGTTGCTACGCGGCTCCTCATCCTGCAGCAGTATCCTCGCTTCTGGGACTTGGAAGCAAACCCCGGCTTCATATCAATGGCCTTGGAACACAGTCACCTGGCAGCTCTAAAGAGCTTTCATGTCATTAGCTTCAAGCTGTCACGCATCAGGAACTGGCTGTTAATGGGCTCACACTGTAATCCTCATTCACCCGCTGGCTCACAGGGAGCATCTTGTGCTGCAGCGATGCAGGAGGCGGCAGGGCAGGGGCTGCAGGACACAGCCTCAGCTCAGGAGGGCTCAGTGGAGGGTTCACATGCAGAGCTGGGACTCTCCACGTGCCTGAGAACCGCAGAGAAAGGCAGCGGCGTTAGCTCGGCCTCACACCTCCCCTCCCAGGAGCATGGAGACCCACTTGGGATGTGGCAGGGACCTGACACCAGCCCCGCTCCCAGCCCTCATTCCCGCCCTGGGACCGAAACCACCTCCACTCCTCGACTGTAACTCACCCACGCGAGCCCCTCTGACGGACAAGCAAGGCCCCACGGGCTCCCGTTCTGCTGCCAAACCCTCTCCTCCCCAGGGCTCGGGCTTGCTCGCTGCGATGAGCGCACAGACCCGCTCACACCGCTCCCGCAGCCAGACGGCGCTGCCCAGGGCGGCCCTCCCTGGAGGGGCTCGTTCAGCACCCGCGGCCCTGGCCACGCAGGCGGCTCCTCGCTGGGGGGCACGGGCCGAGGGCCCATTCCCACAGCAGCAGCGCTCCCTCGGTACCCTGCCCCACACGAGGCCAGCGGCACCGGTATCCCACACAATCCGCCCCAGCACGACTGGGGACCGGCGGCGCCCCGCCGAGTGAACGTGCGCACAGACCTACCCGCAACCCGCACGCTCGCTTCACGGGGCAGCGGGCGCCATCCCCACCCGCCTCCATCGCAGCACGGAAGCTCCCCGGTGATGGGGGGACCCCGGAGCCGCGCGGCCGCCACCACCGGCCCCGGGGCACGCCGCCTCCCGGCCGCCGCCATGTCGCTTGCCGCGGGGCACGCTGGGAGCGGTAGTGCGGCGGCTGCAGCCGCAGGGGAGGCTCAGGGGACGCGGGACTACAACTCCCAGCGTGCACCGCGCGGGCGCGCTTCCGGCGGGCTGTTGCCATGCAACCGGGGCGGGGGGGAGCGGCCATGGGCAGCGGGCAGCGGGCGGCGGAGGCCCGGGCGGGAGCAGCTCCTTGCCGGCAGCACCGCTGCGCCCGGGGCTCGATGCTTTCCCTGCCCGGCGCAGGCAGAACCGCTGTGTCCGCGGTGGGGCCGGGGGAAGGCAGCAGGGGCCCCTCCCGCGGCTGCTCACGCACCGCAGCCTCCGGGGGAGGTGAGGAGGGTGCTGGGAGCCGACACCGTCCCCGCCCGCCTCCTCCTGCTGCCTCTGGGGCCTCCCAGGAGGAAAAGAGCCCCTTTGCTGCCCGCTCTGGCCCCAAAGACAGGGGCGGCACCGCTGTGGGGCAGGGCTGAGGGGCAGGGCTGAGGGGCACGGCTGTGGGGCAGGGCTGAGGGGCAGGGCTGAGGGGCAGGGCTGAGGGGCACACTGGTGTTTCCTTCACCAGCGGAGGCTGCTGTTGTGCCGTTGCTATGCCCAAAGCCCGTGCAGTCTGTGCCTGGGGCCTGCAAAGGCTCCCAACACAGAATCCCAGTCGGGTTTGGGCTGGAAGGGACCTCAAAGCTCCTCCAGCTCCAACCCCTGCCACGGGCAGGGACCCCTTCCACTGGAGCAGCTTGCTCCAAGCCCCTGTGTCCAACCTGGCCTTGAGCACTGCCAGGGATGGGGCAGCCACAGCTTCTCTGGGCACCCTGTGCCAGCGCCTCAGCACCCTCACAGGGAAGAGCTTCTGCCTAAGAGCTCAGCTCAGTCTCCCCTCGGGCAGGTTCAAGCCATTCCCCTTGGCCTGTCCCTCCAGGCCCTTGTCCCAAGCCCCTCTCCAGGTTCCCTGCAGCCCCTTCAGGCACTGGAGCTGCTCTCAGGTCTCCCCTTCACGCAGCAGAGGGGCAGGATCCCCTCCCTGAGCTGCTGCTCACGCTCTGGGGGTGCAGCCCAGCACACGGGGGGGGGTCTGGGCTCAAGTGCTCACTGAAGCCGGGTCCTGGGGAGCTGCTCCTCACCCAACAGCCCAAGTCCTGCTCCTCAAGGCTGCTGCCATCTCGGTTATCATTACCAGTGATCCCGGCCCTTTGGCTGGGTCCAGTTCCCTCTGACCAGAGCAGCCACAGACCTGCTTTCACCTGTCCAAGAGGCTTTTAACATCTCCAAGGAGAAGGAAACAGGAGCCCGCAGTATTCCCATGGGCCCAGCCTTTCCCCCCTCCCTCCATCAGTAACTCACCTTCACGAAGCCAGAGAGCACCGAGTTTGCCAGTGCTCAGCAAAGCAGAGCCCCAGACACCGGCTCTGCCCCAGGCTCTCCCCACGTCAGACACCTTCACCCCCGGCACACTCCGGTGCAAGCCCCCGGCTGCAGATCCGGTATTACCGGCGGTGGTGGTGCCGGCTGCGGGCTCCATCCCGCCCCAGCACCCCCAGGAGCTCGCTGGGAGCACTGCGGGATCGCCGGGCGCGCTGCTTCCCCCTCCCTGTCCCCCTTTTCCCCTCCCCTACAGCCGGGCCGCGGTCACGGCAGGTTCAGGTGAGCCGGAGGTGGAGCGGGGGAGGAGGGACCGAGCCCTGGTGCAGCCCTGCCATTGGGGGCACAGGGCAGGGGCTGGCACGGGAGCGCATAAAGCGATCCCAAAGGAAAGGAAAGAGGAAGGAACCAGCAGAGAGCGGCACGGGGGCAGCGAGGGCAGGAGCCGCGGCCGGGCACGGGAAGCACTGAAGGTAAATGCAGCTTCTCCTCTGCTTCCCCTTCCGTGTCCATGGCCTGGATGGGGTCAGCGGGGCTCTGCCCTCTCCCCAGCAGCCCTGCTGCTCCTCGGCTCTCCCGCTTGCTCCCTGCCTCGTGTTCCCTTGCCGGTGCTTTGGGGGCACGCTGCAGCCCAAACCGTTGCCGACCACCACGCAGCGCCCATGCAGTGCTCTGCTGTGCTTGGAGCAGAGCCGGGTGTCCCCAGCGCCAAGAGCTGGGGAATGGGAGCGTGCTGCTGCCCCTTAACCTGTGCTCCTCCCTCCAGTCGCAGCCCTGACACCGGCCACCCTCGGGGCACCCACTGACATTTCTTGCCCCAGAGCAAAGAGGCCCCAGATGGGTGTTTAGGGCGTCCTTGAGCTCTCTGGCCAGGCGCTTCCTTCTGACCATCAGTGTTCCAGTGCCTAAAGGAACTCGATGAGCTTTAAGGTCCCTTCCAACACAAACCAGCCTGGGACTGTATGAAACGATTTACAAGTGCCGCAGCCAGGCAGCACCAAGCAGAGCTGGATCATCCCCACCAGGCAGGGAAAGGCCCTCGGCTCCCTGGTGTAGCATCTCCCATCCCCTTCCCCATGCAAAAACTGGGTGGGCCGCCTCCTCTCTGTCCCCTGTTCTTCCGTCCCTGGTGCCATGCAGCTAACCTTCAGGAATGAGCCACTTCAGCTCAAGCTGAACACGTTACAACCGTCCCTCTTGGACCTTGACCCAGCTTCACCCCACGCCTGGCACCAGCGCTGCTGTGCCAGAGGGAAGCAATGAGCCTCGGTTCACAGCACTGCTGCAGACCCCCTTCCCCGGCCACACCAGCAGCAGATTCAGCTCCTCCAGGGCCTCCCCAGCCCCACTGATGCCCAAACCAGTTTGGCACAGGGCTAGAGGAGGCTGTGGGGCAGGACAGCCGGGAAGGTGTTGGTCCCTGCTGCTCCTGCTCCGTGGGACGTGTTCCCAGCCCTGCGGAGCCACCAGCACCGTCACGTCCTTGATCCCAAAGCGCACCCAGTGCCTGCTCCCGGTGCTCCTGCAGGTGTCCAGGGATGGAGGAGCCCGGCCCCACTGCCGGGCCCTGCTTCCCCAATTGCAGCAGTGCCCTATCCCACTGCTGTCATTTACCCGTGTCCTCCCTGGGCCCCCTCCCGCGGGCCCTTGCAGCGATGCTGCTGCTGACTGAGTGATACCAGCCGGGGGCCCGTTCCCCCGGTCCCTGGGCACGGTCCTCGTGCTCCCCCCACCTGCACCTTGTGTTGCTGTGCCTGGCCCCAGGCATGGCTGCGGGGCAGCAACGCGCTGAGCCTCCTAATGCGAGGAGAGAGCTGCACCCGCTGAGCTCAACACCAGGAGCTCACAGGCTGGGAAGCCTGTTCCTGTAAATCACAGAGTCCCAGCCTGGTTTGGGCTGGAAGGGACCTCAAAGCTCCTCCAGCTCCAACCCCTGCCACGGGCAGGGACCCCTTCCACTGGAGCAGCTTGCTCCAAGCCCCTGTGTCCAACCTGGCCTTGAGCACTGCCAGGGATGGGGCAGCCACAGCTTCTCTGGGCACCCTGTGCCAGCGCCTCAGCACCCTCCCAGGGAAGAGCTTCTGCCTAAGAGCTCAGCTCAGTCTCCCCTCGGGCAGGTTCAAGCCATTCCCCTTGGCCTGTCCCTACAGGCCCTTGTCCCAAGCCCCTCTCCAGGTTCTTTCCTTGCCTTTAGGCGCTGGAGCTGCTCTCAGGTCCCCCATAAGCCTTAATTAAATCAAACCACCCCACTGCTCACTTAGCCGTTTCGATGGGCGCACAGGCTGAAGCAGCACTGCAGCCAAGACAGGGTGTTGGTGGCATGCACAGGGTCCCACTGAGCCCCCAAACACAGCCATGGGGACATCTCCCCCCATGGTTGAACCACAGCTGTGGCTCGTGTCCCCTCCCTGGCCCCTGGCTTGAGCCGAAGCCACGCTTCAGCGTCCTGCAGCCCCTGGTTGGTCATTAACCACCCCCTGCCTGGCTGCGGGGCTGCAGGGAGCTGTCACTGTGACCGGGCAGCCATGGCCAGGACACGGCTCCGGCTCAGCCCCAGAGCAGCGCCCGCTGCCCCCCACCCGCACCCATGGGGACCCCCGGGGCGCTCCCTGTGCTGCCCGCCCGCAGCCACCAGCACTCCCGGGGCCGTGTCTGGCCCGTTCCAGGCCCGGCCGCCCCGCACCGGTGCCGGATGGACTCTGACCCCGGAAGAGCCGGCAGCGTGGGGCCCTCCTGGTGCCGGTGATGCGGCAGCTCCCGGCGCGGCGCCCCGGCTCACCATGGCAGGTGGGTGCAGGATGGGAGCTCAGCACTTCCAGCAGCGATGGAGCCCCCACGGGGTCCCACTCCCTGCCCTGGCTTCACCGCTCCTCCCGTGTGCCCCCAGACCCCTGCAGCGTCCCCCCCGAGGTCCTGGTCCCCGCCACCAACCAGACACTGGAGCTGGCACTGGGCGCCCGCGTGGTGCTGAACTGCACCGTGCGCTGGGTGGGCACCGGGCTCTGCCAGCACAGCCCCGCATGGAGCAAGGACGGGCAGTGGCTGGGCAACGGCAGCAGCCAGGACACGGCCTGGTAAGCAGCACACCATGGGGGTGTGTGTGTGTGTCTGTCGGGGTGGTCGCTGCTCAGCCCAACCCACAACGGCCCCGTCTCCCCACAGGTTTGCCCCGAATGCCTCGGAGCAGCTCCTCAGCAGCGTCCTGCAGCTCAACCTCACACAAGACAGCGACTTCGGGGTGTTTGCCTGCTGGGTCAGCAATGCCACGGCCACCTTCACCCTGCGGAGAGCAGGTAGGGACACAATGGGACAAAAGGACACCTCCAAGGAGGTCCCACTTGCCACGGGCAGGAGCAGCAGCCCCGTGGGGACCATCGCGGTGGGTGGTGGAGCATTGCACCCCATTGGTGCCCTACCCCAAACCCCTAAATCCGGCGCCAGTCCCTCAGCTCACCGTGCCATTCCTGTGCTTGCAGAGCTGGCAGGGCACGTGCCCGCGGTGCTGGCAGCCCTCCTGGTCCTGGTGCTCCTCATGCTGGCCGCCGGGCTCTACGTGCGCTGCCGCCTGAACGTGCTCCTCTGGTACCGGAACCGCTATGGAGAGCTGGAGATCAACGGTGAGACCCCGGGCAGGGCACCGGGGTGGTGCCCCTTGGGACCCCCCCAGCATCACCCCCTGCCTGCCGTGCCATCCGCAGACGGGAAGCTCTATGATGCCTACGTGTCCCACGCCCCCGCCCCGGATGACCGCAAGTTCGTCCACTTCATCGTGAAGCCGCAGCTGGAGAACCGCTACGGATACAAGCTCTTCCTGGACGAGCAAACCATCCTGCCCAACGCAGGTGGGAGCAGCCCCGTGCGACCGGGCCAGGCTCACAGCGGCACCCCGGGGCCTGACCCCCCTTTCCCTGCAGAGCCATCAGCAGACCTGATCATGAACGTGAGCCGGTGCCGGCGCCTCATCGTGGTGCTCTCCATCGCGTACCTGGAGCAGGACTGGTGCAACAGCAGCTTCAGGTAGGAGCGGGTCCTGCCCGCGCCCGGGGCAGAGGAGCCGGCGGGTGCTCGGCTCTGGCACAGCGTTGTCTCACAGGGAAGGGCTCTGGAGGCTGCTGGAGCTTTCCAAGAAACCCATCTTCATCGTCTTCGAGAGCCAGTACCGGGAGATCCACCACCCCGCCATCACCCTGCTGAGGCAGCACCGCGGCGCCGTGACCCTGCTGCTGTGGCGAGCAGGCTCCATGGTGAGAGCCGAGCAGGACCCGTCCCAGCACCCCCCCACTGCCGTCCCAGCACCCCAGTTTGCGTCAGCCTCCCCACAGCACTCCGGGGCTGCTCCCTGAGCTTTGCTGCTCCTAAAGGGGGACTCGCTATGAGAGAGCAAACACCCAACCAAACCAGCCCCGAGCTGGTGCTGGGTCCCCCCGCCTGGGTCAGGAGCCCCCCGGGGTCTGCCCCAGCCAAGGCACCAGCGTGAAGCCTCAGCTCTCGGGGTGAAGCTGCTCCGGCCATGCCAGGGCCAGGCTGGGAGCGGGGCTTCGGAGCGTCCCAGCCGGTCGGGCCGGTTTCTCCACCAGCACAGCCCTGGCCTTGGCTCAGCTCCCGGTGCAGGGAAGAATGAGCTGAGCCCCACAGAGCCCTGCATGGGGCTGGGCTGGGCTGGCGGCACTCCCAGCGCTGCCCATCTCCCCCTGCCCCACACAGACCCCCTCGTCCGACTTCTGGAAGGAGCTGTGCCTGGCCCTGCCCCGCAGGGTGTCCTTCCAGGGGCCCGTGGGGGACCCGCAGACCCAGCTGCAGGAGGACAAGGACCCCATGCTGATCCTGCACAGCAGCTACCTGGACAGCGGCGAAGACCTGCACCCGGATGGGGACCTGGGTACAGTCCTTGTCCCCTTGACCACCTGGGGGGGGGGGCAGATGTGCGCTGCAGGTCCCCTTTGGGCTGTGCTTCACCCTCCCAAGAGGCTCAGCCCCTTCCCCACCACCCCCGGCCCATCCTAACCCATCTGCCCCATCTCCAGGCCTCCGGGAGTGCGTGTTCCGGAGCCTCCCTCCGCCGCGCCTCGCCGCGCCGGTGCCTGCCGGGACGGGGCAGCCGCAGCTCAGGGACGGGCAGAGAGCAGAGATCGACGTCTCGGACCTGGGGTCCCGCAACTACGGCGCCCGCACGGACTTCTACTGCCTGGTGACAGAGGACGACGTGTGAGCGGGGCCCTCCCCACGGGCTGCGTGGACACAGCAGGGCTGGGGGAGCCCGGGCTCTGCCGTGGGACCACAGCCAAGGTCGCGGTAGGAAAAGGATCCTTCCGGCAGCACGCCCCATGGTGGGAAACCATCACCAAGGGACACCGCAGCCCATGGTGCCTGGGCACCTTCGGGTGCTGGGCCCCTCTCCTTCACCCTGTGCAGCAGGGGCGTTTTTCTGCCTGATGGACCAGCACTGGGATGGGGGATGCTCTGAGAAGAAACATGCCCCAGTGCCAAGGGAATGGCCTGCTGGGGGTGGCTGTGGCACCCCCTCTTCCATGGCAACCCCCGTGGCAATAAAACGCTGCTGCACAGAGTGGGTCCCATCCTCCTGCAGGGATGCGGGTGCCACCAGCGGGTCTGTCCGCACCATGGCTGGTGGTGCTGGTCCCATCCCTGGGCCACATCCTGTCCCCATTGCACCAACCCGCAGCAGCACCTGGTGAGCAGCGGGGGGACAGCAGCAGGCAGCGTTCAAGGCTTTATTTGGGGACACGCAGGGCTCAGGGTGTTTCTACATGAGAATGGAGAGGACAACGGCACCGAGACACCCGGCCTGGGCCATGTGGGTGCCACGCACTGATGGGTGACACCAACACCGGCTGTGCCACCCACTCCCCCCAGCCTCCCCTCTCTACCTGGTGTCCCAAAGGGGGTACACAGCACCCCAAGCACAGCAGGGTCCCCCCAGCCCCACACCCGCAGGCAGAGCGAAGCCACCCCACAGACACCTGCACCCCCGACAGGGAGAGCTTTGACCCGGCACCCTCCCTGCCTGTGCCAGGCACCCACAGCACCCACAGGGCACCCAGCACCCACAGAGCACCCAGCACACCCAGAGCATCTCCCCACCCCGCGGGGAGACACCACCCAGCAAACACAACCTGGCCCTACCCAAATCCTGCTCGTGCAGCAGGGGCCAGGCCCAGCCCGGAGCAGAGCAGCCACCGAAGAGGGGACAGTCCCTGGGGGGCTCCTTGCAGAGAGGGCATGGGCAGCCTCAGTCACCCCCCAGCCCACCCCTGCAAAGGGGGGAATTGGCACCACATCACACCAATAGAGCTTCCCAGCTCCTTACAGCCACCGGACACCCCCTAACACCTGGGAAGCCAGCTCAGACCTCCCTGAGCATCCCTTGGGCCACGCAAAGCCCCGTCCCCCCCCAGGCAGGGCAGAGCCTGTGCACCCCACGGCGTGCCCCACACCAGCCCCTGGAGCACGGTGATTTGGGAAGCCCCTTCGCCACCTCCCTGCAGGAGCTCCCCAAAGCCTGCAGCTCCCGCTGAGCCCCGAGCCAAGCTTTGCTGTGCAGCCAGGCCCCCCCAGGAGCCTGCAGGGTCCCCAGCTCTGAGCACCCCTGGGTGCCATGGGGCAGCCCCTCGCTAACTGTGGTCCCAGCGGGGCCAAAAGCAGGGGCTGGGGTTGGGGCTGGGCAGGAGCGAGGACGAACGTCCCCATGCGGGGAAGGGACCCGGTGGGGGCGCGGGGGACGCAGCGGGGTCTACGCTACGGAGCGGGGTCCGGTGGTGAGCAGCCGAGGAGGCAGCACAGGGCAGCGCGGTCCCGGTGTCCTCAGAGCCCCAGGAAGTCCTCCTTGCGGTACCCCTTCTGCAAGCACACGCGGACACGGTCACCCCCTGCCCGCGCCTCGCCGGGGGCCGGGAGTGCGCGCACGGAGCCGCTGTGCCCCGGCATCAACCCCACCAGGGCAGGGACCAGCACGGGGACGATGCTCTGGGGACATCCCACCCCTTCAGGAGGGGGAATCATGGAGCTGGGGCCCATTGTGCGCCTGGGAGCATTCCAGGTAATCCCAGCATCCCAGCCTGGTTTGGGCTGGAAGGGACCTCAAAGCTCCTCCAGCTCCAATCCCAACCCCTTCCACTGGAGCAGCTTGCTCCAAGCCCTGTGTCCAACCTGGCCTTGAGCACTGCCAGGGATGGGGCAGCCACAGCTTCTCTGGGCACCCTGTGCCAGCGCCTCAGCACCCTCCCAGGGAAGAGCTTCTGCCTGAGAGCTCAGCTCAGTCTCCCCTCGGGCAGGTTCAAGCCATTCCCCTTGGCCTGTCCCTCCAGGCCCTTGTCCCAAGCCCCTCTCCAGGTTCCCTGCAGCCCCTTTGGGCACTGTGAGACTGTTCCAAGTCTTTGGGTTGTGGCTTTTCAGGGTGAAGCCCGTGGCCTTGCCTCCCTCAGGACCCACCCCAGGACCCCACCGGTGGGACGGGACACCGCGGCTGGTACGCACCATCTTGAAGTCCCGGTGGAGCTTGTTGTATTGCCACATGTTGCCCAGGAGGCTGGCTGCTGCTCGGGAGGACTTCTCGTTGTCCGAGCTGGCCAGGGACAGGGTGCAATGAGCTTTGGGTACCAGTGCACGCAGGGTAGTGCCCATCAACCCAAGGATCCCACCCCAGAAGGGCCCTAGGGGCTGAAGACAACACTGGTGGGAAGAGGCAGAAGAGTAAAGGCTGGAGGCCACCGCAGAGTATAGGGTGGCAAGCAGCGAGCGGTGAGGAGCACCCAGATGGGAAAAGGTGACTGCACCCCAGCCCATGAGGGGGTGTCCAGAGGACGTGGCCAATGAGGCCACTCTGAGCTGCTCTGGGGCCTCCTGACACCAAGCCTTGGGAAGGGAGCCCTCACCGGACCAGGGGAACAGGGGCAGAGCAGGACCGGAGCCCGGGTGTGAGCAGAGCAGAGAGGAGCCCCCACCTGTCCCTCCTCTTCTTGATGTAGAAGAGCTTCCTGAGGCCATCGAAGTAGACGATGTCGCGGGCGGCCATGGGGCTCTCCACCACCAGGTTGTTGAGCACGGCGATGATGTTCACGATGACATCGGCCGGCGGAGCCTTGTCCCCGACGCTGCCCGGCAGCTTCTCGATCAAGTGGCTGACCACCTTGGTGGCTGCGGGCGAGGGCAGCGCGTCAGGGCCGGCGGCTGGACCGGGCACACGCGGCAGCCTCGGGGTGCACTGAGGGGACGGAGGGACCAGCACCAGGGATGCCTCAAGCCTCTCCCTGGGCACCCGGGATGGGACGAGGACAAAGCCAACGGGACACGGTGGGGCTGGAGGCGGAGCGCAGCGTGTGGGGGGGGGTTGGTCCTGGGGATGGAGCGGCTTCCGCATGCATGAGGGCAGGGACGCAGTGGGCAGGAGGGTGCTGGAGGTAACTGGAGGGCAGAGTGAGGAGGAAGAGGGCGGAGGGCGGGCGCCGGGCTCCTCCCCACACTCACACATCTCGTCCTTGTTGCGGGCGTGGCGGGACAGGTTGCGGATGAGCCCGGTCAGGGAGCGCAGCTGGTGGTGGTCGGCGGTGCGGACGCGGTCCAGGACCGGGTTCAGGATGCGCTCCTGCTCCAGGGCCAGGCGGCTCAGCACGCCCGCCCACTGCGGGGCACACACTGCTCAGACACGCCAATGGGACCCAACGGGACGCCCACTGCCCCCTCCTCTTCCTCCTCCTCTTGCTCAACAGGGCCAGGTCGGGTCACCCATGCCTGGGTGGTGAGTGGTGCGACGGACACGTTCCCCACCCAGGACAGACCGGTACCAGCCCACATGAAGGTGCATCCCATCCCAGCCCTGTGACTGGTGCGGTGATGGGGACACCCAGGCCAGACGTGGCATCCCCCCCCCGGGCCGCCCCCCCCGCGCCCTCACCCTGCGGTCCCCAGCGGTGATGTTCTGCAGCGCGCCCGAGGCCGCCTCCGTGGTGTGCTTGTTGAGCTCGCAGCGCTGCAGCAGCCGGTTGTAGATGCCCACGATCTGCGGGTTCCAGAGCCACTCCATGCCCTTGGGGTCCTTGGAGACCTCCGTGAAGGTGACGATGTCCGCGTTCAGGTAGTGCTGTGGGGAGGGTGCTGTTGGAGCCGCCGGGATGTCCCCCTGTAGCACCCCCCAGTCCCCCTGCAGCACCCCCCAGTCCCCCTGCAGCACCCCTCAGTCCCCCTGCAGCACTCCCCAGTCCCCCTGCAGCACCCCTCAGTTCCCCTGCAGCACCCCTCAGTCCCCCTGCAGCACCCCTCAGTTCCCCTGCAGCACAACCCTGCAGCACCCCCCAGTCCCCCTGCAGCACCCCCCTGCAGCACCCCCCAGTCCCCCTGCAGCACCCCTCAGTTCCCCTGCAGCACCCCTCAGTCCCCCTGCAGCACAACCCTGCAGCACCCCCCAGTCCCCCTGCAGCACCCCCCTGCAGCACCCCCCAGTCCCCCTGCAGCACCCCTCAGTCCCCCTGCAGCACCCCTCAGTTCCCCTGCAGCACCCCTCAGTTCCCCTGCAGCACCCCTCAGTCCCCCTGCAACACCCCCCTGCAGCACCCCCCAGTCCCCCTGCAGCACCCCCCTGCAGCACCCCTCAGTCCCCCTGCAACACCCCCCAGTCCCCCTGCAGCACCCCCCTGCAGCACCCCGCAGTCCCCCCGCGCCCGGCCTCAAGCCCCGGGCAGCCCGTGCCGGCTGTGTCACACCCGTGGCGCGGCAGAGCGGGGGCTCAGCGCCCTGATTCACGCCACGCTCCTGAATCACCTGCGCTGAGCTCATCCGCGTGTGCCAGCCCTGAGCCGAGGCCGGCGTCCACCTCCGCCCCGCGTCCACCTCCGCCCAGCATCACCTCGCTGCCGGCCGCATCCTCCCGCTGCCACCCCAGCCCCGGGACACGGTCCCAGCGCCCCCCCACCCCCGGCGCTGACCTCTCGCGCCTTCTTGCTCTGGGGGCTGAAGCAGCCCACCAGCTCCCCCGTCACCGTGCTGCTGTTGCTCCGCCGGTGGCCCTCCAGGCGCTGCAGCGAGGACGGGGGCATCTCGTCGTACAGGCGGTAGGAGAGGTTGCGCAGGACGCAGACCGCGTTCTCCACGCTCTGGGTGGGGGAGATGGGGCACGGGGGTGTCAGTCCTTGTGGCGCCTGACGGGGCATCTCTAACGGCACATCCCCATGGGGCTCCATCAGAGTCACCCCAATGCCACCAGCGGTGCCCAGTAAGCCCAGATGGAGCCGGGCTGGTTTTCCCACCATCCCGTCGAGATGGGCCTTTGCACCGTGATGGCCAGGAGACGGGGAGCAGCACCACATCCGAGGGCACCCGAAGCCTCCCAGCGCCCAGCTCCTGGGGCTCACCTTGTCCTCTGACTTGCCCACTTCCAGGGAGCTGTTCACATAATGGATCATGGAATCCACCAGCCCATGGCACTCACGCATCTTCTGCCGGGTCTGCTGGCTGGCAGAGCTGAGGTTCCTGCATGGGGAGCATGGGTTCATCACAGCAAGAAGGGGCTCCCCCACGGCCACCCCTTCCTGCCCCTAGGACCACCGCGGGGAG